GAAAAGGAGAGAATGTATAATAATTGAGATATTAAGATGATAACAAAGTGAAGGATAAAAAATACGATTGATAAGATGGATGATGAGCTGAGGGAATAAAACGACAGGTACATGTGAGAAAATGAGCACGAAAAGAGCTGAGTAACATATAACTAAAATGAGAATAACAAGAAAAATGTTTCTAATAATTGTGAATACTGTATCTTTAGGATGAGATGGAAAAAGATTAAAGATGAGAAGAGAGAGAGAGAGAGAAAGAAGTAGGTAGAAAACTGAATATACATGTATGAAAAAGAAAATGTAGGATCAAAGGGATAATGATGATCGAGAAAAGAATTCGGAAGATGAAATGAAATCTAAAGAAGGTAAAATAATATATATTCGGGTAACATCTAATTCTTGGTTGGATGAGCATTCAACAATACTGTTTCTATTCCATATTGATAATACCAAGAGAGTCAATTATTTTTCCATCAATTCTGAATCTCTCAGTGATTCCAATCGATAAAATAACATTACTAATGTCATACATGTATTAGAATGAAACATCAATATCAAAAAGATGAAGGGGGAGAAAAAAAAAACAATGATTGTATCTAAGAAGAATGTTGACCAAAGGAAAAGAATATAAAAAAGAGAAAACAGAGAAAACAGAGAGCGAAATAAGTTGGAAATACTAATAGTTTACCTCAAGAATATGATAAAGCATTAAAAATCAAGAGTTCGGACAGAATTAAAGATGAGTACAATCTCCATGATACCATGAAAGGTGGAAAAGGCAAATGGACTAATCCGATTCCTTGACAACTCGATTTGTCGAGTTATTTTTTTTTCTTCTCTCTAAATTATGATCAGTTTGTAGAGCCAAATATCATTAGTCTTGGCCCATTTTTTCATCATGGTCTCGATAACGATGATCATATTATTATTATTATTCCCTTTACAGTTAGTTCATTTCACTCATCATCTTTTCTCCTCTCACAATTTAGACTTGTGACTTTCCATCATCATCATTGTAATGACAGTTGATTATCATCATGATAAAGTGAAAACACTGTTAAAGTTGAACATTATACGAATTGAACAATGAAAATATCATAATGTTGATGGTGACAAAATTTTGCTTCCATTTTTTTTCCTCCTTTTCTTTTGATGATAAATTACACTTCTTTCCCCTTCTCATCATCATAATCATCCTAAATAGTATTGTATTCAATGATTATACAATTGAACTTTCAATGAACTTATAGTTAACTTCATATTACTGGGATTTTTATTTCTCTCTTACGATTTGACATTTTGCTTCAATGTTTTTTTTTACTCTCTTCTTATTAACATTATCTTCAGCACTAAATTGATGATACTTAATGGTTTGGTCCATCATTTTTCATCATGTTTTCATTGATTACTCAGATAAACAAAAGTCAAGGTTTTCAAACGATCTTCTTTGCTTCATGGTAAATTCATTTCTAAGATGATGAAGGTCCTCAATGTGTGTGTGTGTTTTGTATCAGTTGATTGATATTATCGTTATCGTAACTGAAGTTCTCTTACGATGTGAAATATTCTCTTTACTCAGCATTTAAGTTATCTAATGAAAATTTGATTGTTTACTCAGATAGATATTAGATGGAGATAAAAATAGACCAAGAAAAATGAACAAGAGAAATTATAAGATGAGATGATAATAGTATTATGACGGAAGAAAAAAAAATTCTGTCAACATAATGTTCAGAAAGATTTAAGTGTGTATAAAGTATTATTTGGATGACAAAAGAAGAGCGAAGCAAATACTATTAATAAGTACGATAATAATAATGAAGAAGGAGATAGATGAAAGGTTTACATGTTATTCAACTAAAGGTAAATACAAATTTTCACTGACGTGTGTAAATGTAATAACAGTTCTGTCTCAATTGTAGGTGATATTGTTATGGAGAAACTGTTGAGATGGATATTAGCAAGTTTTAAGATAATAGCAAAAGAGATGTGAAAATATGAAAGAAGACTGATAAAAATACCGTTAGATTTTGAATTATACTTAATGAATTTGTGTCATTAGATGAGATTAATATTGGGATTTGCTGTTTCTCCTCTCAAAAGATTTTCGATCAGCTTTTACATAGCTAATCCAACCTTAGTGACGATTGAGAGCAAGAGATGAGGTGGAAATATTGTTGGAAGAAACGATTTTTGGTTATATCAATTGAAATAACTCGTATCAAACGTTTTTCGATATATTTATTCGAGCCTTTTTGAAGAAATCGGAGGATTCATGATGAATATATTATGTTTATATTCAGAGGAAATGTAAAAAAGTTCCATGTAAATTTCATGAGCTCTCAGACATTTTTTCATGGTCTTTATATGTAACCTGTCAAATGATGAAGTTCATTAAGTGTTAATGAAAAATGTTTTTAGCTTTTTCACTTTTCGTTAGTTGAACAACTGTACTTTGTTTTTGACACATTGTTACTATTGAAAAACATTATTTACTCTGTTAGATTCAATAAATGGTTCGTCAAAGGCGAGATTCTCATGAAGTTCATACAATTCATTCGTGTAATTTACTCTGTTTACAAAAAGATTATATTCAAATGTATTCAATAGTGAGAGAAAAAACAAGCAAAAAATTCATTTGATGAAAAGTTCAGATAATCATGAAATATTCAGTAAAATTTCAGGTATGAGTAAGAAACGTAATCAGCCTGATAGTTATTTTAAGACTATTATTATTAGGTTTTTTTATAACTATTAATATTAATAGCTGGATTGCTAACTCCAGTACCGTAGCCACTGGCACCACTAGTCTCATAGAGCGAAGATAATTTAAGTTCCATGAAAGATACGATTAACGGGAAATATTTCAAAGTCCCACGCGCATCGCAGCCCATTTTTTGCTTACAGCACGTTTTTTGTTGAATAATCTTTACTTTGAAATTCGACACACAAATACTGGCCAAACTTCCATAGATTCTATTGGTTAATTAGTTTCAAGTAATAGCGAAAAGAAATCGTACAAAGTGGCTGATTTGCCTTATCCATACCAAACAATATGTACTAGTAAATCGACAATATGATTCGAGTATTAGGACAAAACTATTGGTAAGTATTAATGTTATGCTTGAGTTTCTGTCGAGTTTATTATTAGATTTAAGTTTTACTTTCTGTTAATTTTTTGTTTACTGAAACTTACACCATATCATGTACATGGGTAAGTGTAAATAAGCAACTACTTTAGGTTATCAATTTAATTTAATTTATTTACCAATTTGATGACTAACCACATAAGCTCTTGACCTTCTCCATCCTATCTACACACACACCACATCATTAAATAAAGAAGATAAAAATTGGAGATGATGAAATAAGTAGAAGAAGATGATAATAATGATGATGATGATGATGATGATTAGAATGAAGTGGCTGGTAAAAAAGAGAAAAAAAAGTAAAAGGAGGATGAAAAAATAATGTATAAAAGAAAATGGAAAAGGAAAGAGGCTACTTGATGGTCAAGAAATGGATGGTATAGTTTTGTTCTTAGTTCAATCTCATGTTTGTAGAAATTACTTGTATACTGAATGAGAATTTTGTCCAGAATTCTATTGTATTAGCTGAATGTATTGTAACGCATGATGGATGAGTTGGAGTATCTAGAGAAACTTCATAATAGATTGAAAGAAAAAAAAAGTATGAAAAGTTCATTGGGATTGAAATTCATCATGAAAGGGAAACATCATCAAATCCAGACTATCCAGATAATCTTGATGATCTTATTCATCATTCAAACTATTCAGAGGTCATAGGCAAAGTTTTTCCCATGATCCATAATCTAAGAGTTTTCATCTTATCAGAAATAAATATCTCATGTAATCTGATATTAGTGTTCTCATGCATAATATTTTGCCTGGTAAATTTACTTTGGAATAAGTTTTTTCTCCTATCTCCTGATTCGGTTCATTATTTCAGGTAACCCATCATGCTGAAACGACTCACATTCCAAGTTTTTTCAAGAGTTTCTCTTCCCGTTAAACAGAATTTACGTTCCAATGTCTTCAACCGACGCCTTGGTGGATATATTTTCCCTCGACATAATTCATGATTGATAAACACAAAGCAATTCGCCCAAAGTATTAAATCATTCATTCAAATCATGGATCAGCTTCACAAATTTGCTTCCTTTCAGAACTTATTGACTTTCAACCTGATGAACTCAGATTATCTGCATGAACAGAAACAGATGATGCTGATTTTCTCATTATATAATTAAGCCTTGATTGTTTATTTCCAACATTCTAGTCATTGTTTCAGCAGAATTAACAATGCAACTGATTGGCATGGGGAAGGTAGAGATTTTCATTCAAGAACTGATGGAATCAGAATTAGTGATAACATCTCATAATCTTGACAAGAATTCTAAATAGATCAGTTTTAACTTTATCTATTTCAACTTCTTTTTCATGATAACTGAATTTTTGGTTTATTCTGTGAAAATACTTAAAAATTAGTGAGGTCTTCGACATGAACTTAAGTGAGTAGATACAAGAAAGAGGAAGAAAGGAAAGATAAAGAGAAAGAGAGAAGAAAACAGAAAAAAAAGCAAGGACTCATATAATATCCATCATATAAAGATCTTGAATTAGCGATCATGTTGATTGTCTAAACCCTTGTAACAATTATTTGTATTCTAATGTTCAATTAGAGTATCTTGCCAGAGGTTAACTGCTAATTAAGATATAATCATGAAGAAAAAGACAATCACAACAACTTCATCATTTCTTGGCCATCTAATCAACAGTAATTCAATTTTTATCTTAATAATTTACATTTAAGGGCTTTTCCATTAAACCAATATGATTAATCTGAATTATGGTGAGTTTTTTAGATAAGATTATCTAATCATCACTACGATTAGATTACTTGTTGGTTATTTGAAAAGCACAGTGGAAGCTACGGAAAAAGTTAATGGAAAAGGTAAAGCTCGGTTATTTTTCGCAATCAGCTGACAATTAACCAACCAGCTGATATTTTAACCAACATTCACCGAGTTTAATTCGGTTTTTCAGTTAATGGGAAAGCCTTTTAATCTCAGGTAAAATATTCTAATTTTGGTTTTTGTCTCAAATTAAGTGAAACTTCCTTCAGAAGTCAACAACTTTTGAGAGGTACTAAAGTAAATAGATTAATTAGTTTTAAATGGTGACGTGTTTTTTAAAATTTGAAGTATATAAAAGCTTTTGATTGTTTCTGTTTAAATATAGTTGTTAATTTGATTGTTCGTACACATCATAATCATGGAGATTTCTGTCGAAGGTAAAAAAGTGCTGGTAACCGGAGCTTCCAGAGGAATCGGTCGAGCGGTAACAGAGACTTTGGTCAAAGCGGGAGCATCTAAAGTCTATGCTGTTTGTATTCTGAAAGACGAATTGGATAAACTAGCAAGTGAAGTTAACAATGTCCATCCAATTCATCTCGATTTAAGTGATTGGTCAGCTACCGAAGAGACTTTGAGTAAACTCGAGCCCGTTGATTGTTTAGTTAATAATGCTGGTGTCCTTTGGCCAACAGAACCTGGATCGATAAAGGAATCGGATTATGACAAAATATTTGACGTCAATGTGAAAGCTTTGATTAATGTTACCCAAATCATTTCGACAAAAATGATCAACTCAGGAGTTAAAGGTTCAATCGTAAATTTGTCCAGTATAGCGGCAAAAAAATCTCATCCAAAATATTTAATTTATTGTACATCAAAAGCAACGGTTGACCATATAACCCATAATTTTGCTCTTCAATTGGCACCAAAAGGAATACGTGTCAACGCTGTTAACCCTTCGATCGTTAATACTCCCATGGCTGTGGCTTTGCAAATGAGCCAAGAAGAGGCAGAAGAGTTCAGGAAGGCAATACCATTGGGACGATTCATTGAAAAAGAAGAAGTGGCAAAAGTGATCCTCTTCATGCTAAGCGATTGGTCCTCAATGATTAACGGTGTAACTTTGCCAATTGATGGAGGACTAATACTGTAATCATGCTGGTAGAAAAGGTTAAGTTAACTAGAAAATCGCAAGAAATCAGATAAATAAACCATTTTGATTTCAATTATGATCAATAATCTTTTTTTGTTAACGTTTTCTGTATCAATATGACCGAGGAAAGAAACAAAAATCAATAAATTTTCCTCTTTTGTTCTTGGGGTTTCATTAATGAGATTTAAATATTTTTGATTCTTGTTAATATAATTTGTATTTATATCGTATCACTATTAGAATAAAGTTATCCGATAATTCTTGTGATTATGCTAATTGAGATTCGTAGGAAAAGTAAATAAAAAAAGTTACATTTCTATTCTAATTGTAATGTAAACACAGGTAATTTATATCCGTTTCATTAACCATTACTGAATAATAGTTGACAAAAAAATATTGATCATTCGTTTTCAGTAGAATTCATTAGTCATAGTAGAACTCAATTTGACTGAATATTCATGATAAATCAGTTATTTATCATAAGATTAACACATAGATAAAAACATTGACTTTGTATTGAATAAGACAATGAAAAGATAACAGAAAACCACTAAATCTTTCTTAATCATACACATGAGAATCTTCATTCAATTAGTGCTAACCCTTTTCACGCTATTCAATGGATCCTAGATGTTCAATTGAATCTCATTAAATCTTTTTCCATTGGTTATCCAAGTCGAAATATCTACATGAGCATACACATTATAATGAAAGAAAGTGCAAGATTTATCAAAGCAGAGAGAGAGAGAGAGAGAGAGAGAGAGAGAGAGAGATTACTTTGAGGTGTTGAGTACTTTTATCAACGATAATAATTCAGTGAAAGTATCATGATCGATGCTGATGTTACAAGGTTTTCATGGTAAATATTTTTAACGCTTTATTAACGATTCAATGCAGGTTTGGTGAGAAGAGAAAATTGAAATTGAATTTGGAAAAAGTTTACAAAATTTCATCAACCATTTCAGTTTATCGATTGATCTGAAAATATTTGATGAATTATTATTATATCATGGAGGTAATATACTATATTTATATAAAGGAAAATTATGATTCATGAGACTAGTTTTTAAGGAACCGGAAAAAATGAGATCAAATTATGAAGCAAATCGACACCCAAATTAAACCAAACGTAACATTGAACTCTATGGTTAGATAATGTGTATGATATTGCAAAAGAAATGAAATATCAGGCAGGTAGAAAGAAAGCAAAACCATAATTAGATTGTGATAGAGTTAAAATTATCCAAATATGAAAATTGAAAATTCTGCAGTTTCCTAGAATTTCAAAAATGGTCATTCTATCATGAAATGTCAACGAGTATACCTCTCATCGTCTTTGAATAGTTTCTTATATTGGATTGACTTTTACCATGAAGTGATGAGAAAACGAGCATCAAAAGACTTAGAACCTTTCAAAGATCTTTTCATTACTATTATATTATTATCAGAAGTTTTCGAAAGATTCGGAAAAGTTATAAAAGTTACAATGGAAAACTAAGTTGAGAAAATAAATTAAGATGAAAGAATCAACAATAAACATGTTGTTGAAATGAAGCAGAGAAAAGTAGTTCTAAAAAAATGTATTCAATTGAAAATCTTTTGACTTAGGAAAGGGTATGAAAGAAAAAAAGTTACACAGGTAAATAGGAGTTTACCTTTAGATTGAGCCAAGAAAAAAACTTCGATAACAATGATAATGTTAACAATAATGTAACAGGTAATCTGGAAAGTTTACAAAGAGGATCAAGATGCTGGGCAGAAAACATCGTGAACTTTGATTATTATTGATGTTTGAAAATATTATATGATAAGAAAAGTATTTCGACTTAGATCATAATAAAAATAAATGATCAAAGGTATTACATTGTTATAACATTATGTTATATGAGAAAAGTTCAATGTATGAGAATGGAACAAAATTGGTCAGTTCTTTTGGTGTTGTTTTCTTCATGAGATCCATGATGATGAACATAAAGAAAAATTTTATGATATATGGTACATGCGATGCTAATAGTCTAGTTTCAAAGTGATATTTATCCAATCACAGAATAGTTTTATTCTGATAACGATTTTGTTTCAATCGTTTCGACGATTAAAGTTTAAGAAAGTTTTTTCTTCTTTTTGATTTTTGAAATTGGATATTATCAGTAATTTTCTTGGTGATGGAAAATTTTGATTGGTTTTTTAGACGAAAATTAGATGACTTTATATATTGAGTATTTATGTACATGTAATATGTATCGAAAGAAAGTATTGGATTAGAAACTTACGACAATCTTTTTCGTCTGAACCATCGTCACAGTCTTTATCTCCATCACATTTCCATTCCTGATTGATACAACCTCCATTGGAACAAGTGAATTCACCACTTTGACACTCTACTTTACTTTCTACATTCAGTATAATGTAATTCACAGTGACCCATTCCAATCCAAGATAAATTCCCATGTGATACATCATGATAACGATATTTTATCAGATGATAAGAGATGAGTATGGATGGAAAGTGATTAAGACACGAAGGATAAAAGTTAGAAAAGAAAAAATAATCAGAACAATTGCATACAAGAGAAAAGAAAAATTATGTTCAATCAAGTGAATAAAGAAAATCATAGAATTCATATCGAAGAGAGAAAGAGCAAAGAAAGAAAGTAAGAAAAGAGAGAGAGAGAGAGAGAGAGAGAGAGAGAGAGAGAGAGAGAGAGAGAGATATCATGATGATGAATAAAGATGATATTTGAACCTCAGGGTAGCATTTGTAATAACAGTAAAAGTAAATAACAATGAAAAGACTTTGATAATCATTGATAGTGATTATAATAAATCATACAGAATATGAATGAGGAATAAAATCATGATTGGTGCAAACCGAAATTCTGATTGTCTTTTGACCACATCATAATAATCATGAAATGGAACCAGAAAGTTTTCCAAGAGACTTATTGACTCGAAACAAATAGTAAAAAAAGAAAATTCATTTTTTCTTCGTTTTATTTGATATATTATGATGATACAAAAACGAAAATGGCTTTAGTAGTCTCATCTTACCGCATTTATCCTCATCTGACCAATCTCCGCAATCATTATCTCCATCACAATGGTAAGCTTCAGCAATACAGCGACCGTTACGACAGCGATATTTGCCAATTGGACAAGTTACATGATCCATGGGAACTTGGTCTAAGTATTAAAAAAAGCAGAAAAAATCAAACTGATTTCGTGAGCAAAGTAATAATATAAAATGAAATTCATTCTTGCTATTATATTAGCTTCCGAAATTCAAAATTTCGATGTGAAAAATGGTGTATATAAATCAGAGTAACATTGGAAAAGTGAGTAAACAGATGGAATAATGAAATTTGATAAAGTTGTGAGTTGAAGGAGATATTACATGATTTCGAACAACAAAATTGGTTATCATGAAATTGGTTATCGATGTGATTGGTAACATGCAAGAGAGAAAAAGAAAGAGAGAGAGAGAGAGAGAGAGAATGGAGAAACCAATATGAAACCCTTGGAGATTTTACCTAGAACTTGATTCACATTATTTACTATGAACAATGTCCATCGAACTTCAAGCTTTCCAGAGCTCAAAAAATCAACTGCTGCACTTTCAGAACAGAAAAACATGATCATAGATGAATAATGTACAAGAAACTTCTTGTACATTAGAGCGTTTAATAGAGTTATTCATAATGCAAACGAGAATAAGTAGCATAAAAAAGTCTTTGAGCTTGAACGAAATAGAAGATTAACTCAATAGCAAACTCAAATCGAATGACTACAGGGTGTAAAGAAAGTAACGTTCATGGATGGGGTTAAAGTTACGTGGATTGATGGTTGTTGATTTGATTATTTAATCGAAGTAAAAATAAACAAACCAAATCAAGTCAATTGCGCAAGGGGAAAAATTCATCATAATTGACGTTACATTCATTGAATTGCCTTCAAATGAGCTGGTTCATTAAAATGAGCTTGATCTTTCAATATAAATATCACTCAAATTCACACTGTGCAAGTTTCTAAGACTCATTGTAATTGACAAACATCGGCTGAATAAAGTAGATGAATAGCCCGACAGTTTTGTTAATAGAGTTCCACCAGCTTGATAATTCTGATGAGAATCTGAATAATATCAACTTGAATGGTGATTTAGCTAAAGTATTATCATAAATATCATTAATATCTCAACAAAAGTAACGATTGTGAAAATGAATTTTGAGTTACTTGATTTGTAATTAATTCGATTTGAAACACAGGTTGAACTAATTGATCTAATGAGATTCAATTAATTTGGATAACTTTTCCCCCCAAATAATTCAAACAGAATGAGCATATCTCCATGAAATAAAGTTTATTTGAGTGTATTTTAAATGCTATATAAAATTTTGTGGATTTTAGTTTTGACAATTAAATTGAGTTGACTGCAAAAATATCCTTCTAATCATCAATATTAAATTATTTCCACTCTTTGTGATAATACCATGAAGTAAATGCTGTACAGGAAGGTAAAGATAATTTCAATTGAGGAAATGTAATTAATTTTACCATGTCAGGTTCAGGTCATGTTGTATCTACTGTATTCATCTCTCTCTCTCTCTCTCTCTCTCTCTCTCTCTCTCTCTCTCTCTCTCTCTCTCTCTCTCTGACTCTTTCTTTCAAAATTAAGCTCAATTAATCAACCCTGTGAGTGATCTGATCTATCAGGATTCGTTAAAAATTAACTTCAATTTAGCTTCTTCTTCATCTTCTGTAAGTCACTTTTATAGTAGTAAATCATGTCCTACATCATGAAAATTGATGAGCAATTAGCCAACTGTTAGAATGAAACAATGGACATAGAATCAGATTAGCTTTGGGAGTTAATTCCAATACTGGAATGATAAGTATTCATCTTAATAGACAATTAATACCAATTTACAAATTAGATGAGAATAAAATTACAAGTTTAGCCTTTGATTGCTCAGTTAAAATTCTGTGGGGTAAAAAAACTATCATTGAGAAAACTAAAAAGTTCCAATGAACTTCTGTATCATTAATAGTATATACATGGAATGACAATTAATATAAGAAAAGTGGGTTAAACATGTTTTAAAAAAAGGATAAACAACTTGTTCATGACAGGGTAAATGTTCTGAAAAAGTGATCGCAGATTTGATCTTCATCACTCAATGTCTTTATTCATCACCTTTTTGCATGTGCATCATGAACCTTCGGAATATAATCTCAAAACCTTCATATGCAATTCTAAGCGATTAGCAGCACAATTAAGTTCAATTAAGGAGTTAATGAGACTGAGCACGATGAACTGTTCTCACTCTTCAACCACAAAACATAAAAAATGATGAAAAAAAATTAGTTGATGATTATCGTAGATCAGGATAATCTTTCAGTTGTATGGTAACTGCCGATGCTAAAGTAGTAGTAGTTTGGGCAACACTAATCGGTAAAGCGGTGATTAAAATGCATCTACAGAAACTATTTGTGATCATTGCATTTGATGAAAATCTATTGGAACATTTTATTGATAAAATCAAAGATTTACCAATATTAGGAGATTATCTTCATAAACCATTCAGAGATTTTTTAATCAATCAAAAGGAGAGACTTCACAGTAAAGTTGTCACCAAACCTCATTGGATCGCATCTTTATTTGAGAAATTAGTTGTGGCGATGATTATTTATTTCATTTTATCGATAATTAATTCGCTTGCTCAAAAATACCATTCCCGGATCACGAATACATTGACAAAATCGTCCGATTCTTCATCTCTAACTACAATTTCATCGATTAAAAAAGTTAATCAGCCAAATGAGGAAAACTTGTTGAACAAGCGAACCAATAAAACTAAATTTCAAGACTGAAGAGATAATCATGAAGCAAATAGACACCAAGAAATTAGTTGCAATGATCCAGGAAAAGAAATTGAGATTGACATTGATGATTTCGTTGAATTTTATCTAATATTTGATTTATATTTTGTTATTCAATGATCCAAATCTCTTGCCTTACTGATGATGCCTTCGACTATTTATTGTGCAGTTTTTTTACTGTTTCTTTTTTGTTAAATTGACATTAATCAAAAATAGAAAGTATCCATTTTATAAACTCGCAAATCTATTTAAACAAACAGCTAGTTTGTCAACATTTTCATTCAAGTTTCGCCGTTTTCACAAGATAAGATAAGGAAGAGCGATAATTGTGAAAAAACAATTGGTTTCATATTAGAAAAAAGCGAAAAATATCAACTGAATAGAAGTAGATGAATAGACGAGTAATTTTGATAATAGCAATTTAGCAATAGTTCATGTTGCCATGAACTAGCCTACGATTTTCGCTCAATCTCTGAACTATTCTTTCAAATATAAACGATTAATGTAAATTTTATAATAATCAATTGATTGAGAATATGTGATGAGATTTGATAGTCAACATGAATCGATTATAGTAAGGAAAAATTGAACCAGCAATCAGAATGTATAATTTCAACATATTATCATGATAACGATATTCAATAATTAGAGTAGAACCCTTGAAAATGTAGCAAAAGTCAAAAATGATTTAAGATATTCAGATGAGATTAATTTTAAATTCAAGAAACGTTTTCTTTTTTGGGGCTGAAATGAGAAACGCAATATTGGATAAGACACAAAATCCCAAATGCAAATCAATTTGTATCGATTATTTTGAAAATTCACTGTCGTGATAATGAATCGATCATTATTATCAGAAGAGTCTACTTATATAATATATAAAAATATCTCACCGCAATCAAGTTCATCAGATCCATCTTTGCAATCGATATCAGAATCACAGTGCCATTGAAGTGAAATACAACCTCCTTTGTGACAGCGAAACTCTGATGAGGCACATGGACGGCTTTCTGTAAATACACACAAAACATTGGATTAGAATTTGAAAATTATCAAAATGACAAGGCAATCATGATAAGGATGATAATAAAATGATCAGATTATTAAACAGAAGAGAAAGAGAGAAAGAGTTAATTTATTTTCATCTCTTCGACACAAGATTGGAATAGAATCAGGGAAGACGAATTCTATGAATTATGACTTTGCCTTATCATTCATATACATACATGGTGCATTCGATGCAGTGATAAAAAGTGAAAACTTCATACTTGTAACTTTAGTTTCTTTTAACCCATTTTTCTAGCTATTCTCTGTTATTTATCATCATCATTATCATCCCTTTCATTCTGTTCTCTATGATACTCTCATGAAGTTGTAACCTCTAATTTTATGGATATTATTTTATTTTCATCATTTTCATCATTTTCGATCTTTTCTTTTTAGTTCTTTTCTCTCTTCCATTGTCTCTCTCTCTCTTCTCATCCACTGAGCTTTGAATCATCTCCTCATGTATCTATTATATTTCATCACTTCTTCTTCTTCATGTGTATGTAATCTCAGTCTGTCATCTGTCGCCTTTTCCTCTTCCTGCTTCATTTCATTTTTGATGTAACTGAACTCTTTTTATTCAGTTATATTATTTTGAATCTACAGAGAGTTTACTGAAGAAAAAATGAGACTTTCTTTTGGATTCTGAAAAATTCAGATCGTGTTACTAAGATACAATGAACTTTTCTCCCAACACCCAAGATTTTTTATTCGTCTGCTTCTTTCCATACTATTATTTGTCTTAAGAATTCTTTATAAATTTTTTCCCTATGTACTAAGAGAATTGGAAATAGACAATTTGTATTTCTCAAGTGATTGTTATTCAATTACTTTTAGAATAATCTGTCATTTTCTTTTATTGAATTATTAATCGAATAATCAAAATTTGATAGAATTTTGTTGATAAAATAAAAACAATATTCAATTCCATTGAATTAATCTAATATGATTTAAAAGATTACACTAACAGTTATACAGAAAATGTTGACACTTTGAACTTATCTTATCAGATTAGCATGATCATTCTCATGCTAATCAATATTACCATGATTTGGAAATTATTACTTGTTCATGATAATGTATTAATATTTCAATCTTATGACTTCCGGTGACACTTTTCCTTCATGTATAATGATAGTTGTTGAAGGTCATAGAAAACAATTGGCACATAATCTGAAGTTGACATTTAATTCAATGAGGTTTTTTGATTCCAAGTTGAATCATCAAACTACAGAATGCTGACATCATAGGGATAATCAATGGAATGGTTGAAAGAGGGAGAGAGAGAGAAAGAGAGAGATGATGATGATGTTATACTGACATTGACGATGATGATTGAAAATGTTTAAAGTCTCAGAAGTAATGGAAAATGTTGGAAAATAATTTACCAATGTCAGTTTAGCCTAATGGTCAACAGATTTTTTCAACAATGATCTGTCACTGACCTCAAACCCATTCATAAATTCAATTCCGATACAACAAGTTATAAACAGATCAATGATCATAATATATGATGAGCTCCCTCGCTCATAGTTGACAATGATGAGTGACAATAAAAGAGCTGATGATATTGATGAGTTTGAAAAAGCATAAAAAATCTCCTCAATCTAATCTCGTATTGTAATAAGCATTGAATCAATTCATGAAAATATCAGAATGAACTGTCCAATTGTAGAGGGATGAGATTGAGAAAGGTTTTTCTTCTCCTTCTTCCTTTCGATAGGAATAACATTTAGATAAAATAAAGAATCAGGGTCATGCATTATCATGAATTGAGTTGATATCATGGTGAATAAGACTTTGATTGATATTGAATACCAGTAAGAATCGTCAACATCAATGGCTACTGGAAATGTTATTTTTGGTAACAATTGTTATTGACCAGTTCAAGTGCTCAACTGTTCACTTTTTTGGACACTTTGATTTCTATTCATCTGAGTATTAATGCAAAATGATAAGGAAAATGTTGACCAGAAAAGAAAAGTAAAAGAAATGAAGATGAGCAGTAAAAATGGGATGGAAAACAAGAAAAAATAGAAAAAAATTACAGAGATGAGAGAAAAAGTAACATGATATTGACTTTTGACTGACAGAATATATATAATATTAGAAATGGACATTACTGGACTGTTAATATGCTCCATGTTCAATATCATTTTTCTTTCGGATTTACAATCAACCAAATGGGTATTTTCATCTTTGCAGCTTCTAGTCATTTGGTTTGATTAAAAACACCAATAAATTGATTCCCATTTTGAGAATCCAGAAATTTCTGTTCTTTCTGAATTTGATAGCAAACACCAAAAGAAACCAGAACAAACCATAAGCTATTTTATTTTGAGCTAGATTTATTGTCATGGATTTAAATGGATAATTTTAAGAAGCAATAAATATGATTCTTGAATAACTTGAAATGAGATGAAACTGAATGGTAAAAGTGTGGTCAGTGTCATACTCATCGTTGGAGAAAATAGGAATTGTATAGATTAAGATTGAATTTACCTGAAAATTTCGCATCATCAACCATTGTATTAGGTTCAGGTTGAATTTGTGAACCGAAAACATGATAACAGGTAAATGTGTAATAGTAATAAAAGAGATGATAATAATATAAACACAATTTCATGTAGAAAAATTTCATTCCAGAAGATAGAGATGATCTTTTGCTTATATCAGATTCGTTGTTGACTAACGATAAAAATTTGAGATTGAACAGGTTACTTGTAATTTTTTGTTTCTCTCTTTCTATGGCAAAACAAAGTTTGATTATCTATCCTGAAGATTGAAACAGAACACAAATATCATATGAATAACAATGTTACACGATTCTCTCAACGGTTAATAGAATAATTTGATAAAACTTTTCTTAGCTTATCGTTATTCAATCCAAGTCACATCCACAGTCCAAGTGTTGAATATACAAGCACAGGTAACACAGAGAAACATGAATACACATATACAGGTATATATATATTGCTGTAAAGTGATGAACTTTTTCTCAAAATAAAAATTATACAATCCGATGGAACGATCAGTTATCCATCCAGATGAAAAACTGAGTATTTAAAATTTTGAGCGAAATCCACAAACAGAGTAACAAGAATTGTACATGTTACCAAGAGTAAAAATAATGGTAAACTTTCAACTCATGATTTTATCGTTGTGTAAGACAATAAATAACTATCATGAGAATCGACGAATTACTGAATTATTATTAAAGTGCTGTGGTATTAGAGGTTTGAGTTTGGAGTGAATCAACTTTGACGGTAGAAAGTGAATTGAACATTAAACTATTGAGAAATCCATGGGATCATTTTCGAAGCTGATGAAATAATCAAACTTTTTTCTTGTTATTTAACATAGAAATTCATTTTTCGTTTGAAATGTTGAAGAAGTTTATGCGAAAGAATTAAGCTGACACCATGGTAATAATTATAAAAAATTGATGAAAAGATTATTTGTTTTTGATATTTCAATTGAGAGGGTCAAGAGTTTCTTCTTCGGATGGTCAAAACACGAAAGTTTGATGAAGGTTATTATACAAAAACAAAAGGGATAACTATTAATAGCAGTTAAGGAAAAACTTTTATGTCGATCACAATATTATCTCAATACACAAGCACCAAAACACCAACAAGAAGTTCAACTGTTTAACTAAAATGAAAGTTCATCAGGTCATGAGCAGTTGATGAACATTCGGATTATGTGTTTTTTGTAGATCACAATTTAGAGTTGGTCAATCAAGCTAAATAAGGTTTAATTCGTGCCAGGACGATACTAAAAAGTTAATAACGCGAAAGAGCTAAATGCAAATAGCATTGAGATTTACATGACTAGAGGTTAGCGATCAGATTTTTTTTATTTATGATGAAGAGAAAGAAAAATAACAAATTTTAAAGTTAATACTTTATTCTATTGATGGATAATAACACTAATAACAATCCAAACTTTGATTGTTTTCTCAAGATTGTAAATGATTTTCACGAGTTCATTTTTTATCTTTATTTCAGTTTCCATGATCAGAACTAAAAGATGGTAAAATGATCATGATCATCGGTTGGAAGATAGAAAAACTTTTCCGAACATACAGACTAAGGACATCTAGTATAGCAGAAGATGAATTAAGTTATCGATTCCAAATCAGAGTTGCATTAACTTAATTCTCAATTCTATGCCACCAGGAAGAGCTGAAAATAGTCAGAAATTGTAAGATAACCAGATTTTATTCTGGTTATGTCGTAGCTACTAGTATTAATAGCGGGTGACCGAAAATGAGTGAGCATCTCACGAACCTTAAGTTTTGGACCCACGTTTCTATACATTTTAAGAAAGAAAATTTAACGCTGAGTCCAAAAATGTTCGGCTTTTTTTTCTAAGACGGACGGTTCTCAAGATATCGAGTGGCCTGAAAAGCGAACGGTTGACTTTGGACTCAAAATTTTCGGTCAAAAGTTATTCTTTTTGACCTATTATCTTATATATCTAAGCTCATCATTATCTGAAGTAAGGTTATTGAGATCTAACATGGCCGAAATCAACGAAAATTGCTCTTTAACTTTCCCATTATAAATTTCTCATAGAGAAAATCACGATTTTGGCCTTTAAATAAGAACCACAGTCGCAAGTTGTTGATTTTTGTTGGATCTGGTAAATATAATGTGATAGAAAAAGTTACCGATACAATTGATTACAGTGCAAATGTAATTTCAACGTCTTTTTGCTTAATTGACTATAACCTGATATCAATGATCAGAAGAGAGCCAGAGGTCAACTACCATTTTTTCTTAATCTTTACCCTTTCGTTCATTAAATCTTTTAATTTTACGTCGTTTAGAAGAGTCCAGTGAAAATAAAAACTTACTAGGTATTATGTAGATTTACAGATAATAAAATGATGAAAAATTCAATTTTCTTTAGATTATCATATGACCCTGGCCACATGACATTGGTTCTATTTTTGCAGATGTAGATTTTTGAGTTCTTACAGTTAATATTTTTTCTTCAATCTTAATGTAAAAAATCGTGAGTCGTAATAATTGTTTGTGTGATGTGATTAAACGCTCGATTATCGATAAATTATGAGGATAAATTGTGTATCCACTGAATCCAATTTTGTATTAAACCATGATGATTTAACCAACTGAGCTAAAGCAATAACTTTTGATCAATTTCACTACTCTGTTTCTCAATCGTAAGTGACAAAATTGTGTCACACAAGTAACGGTCATACTAGGGGTAAGGCAAAACATCTTTGCATTTTTCAGATAAAAAATGGTAGTCAACAAGATGACACTAGATCATTTTGAGCCTGTTACTTTTGATATTATCCAAGCTCAACTGAAAATCAAGTTAGCAACAGTCTGGTGAATTGCTTTCTATTACTTTCTTGATTAAAAAATGCTTCTTCGTTTTTTCTTGATATGGTCATCATATAACTACGTCACAATTCGCCATTCCATTTTAGACTACATGCTAAATTGCGATCGCTAAACCTACATGAAATTAACAATTAACAATCGGCAAAACATGTAGTGGTTAGAATTTTTTACAACTGAAATTTGTTCAGACATGAAACATTCAAGGTAATTGTCAATCCTACGATAACAAAACTAATAAAAATCTGCTGATCAACTTGAACTTTGAAAATACCTATAAGTAAATACAAAAAAGAAGTTCAATTTAAATTCATGATGAAAATTAACCAATCTCCAAAGAAACTAACGTTAACTCATTTGCTGAATATGACTACCAACATTTGCACAGGAATTTAAAAAAATCACCCTGAAAGGTTATATTTGACTCAATCGTGACAAAAGTACCAGGATTTTACCTTTTTTCTTGTAAATATTGGTGGCTGGAAAAATATTCATCAATAAATAGATTAAACTCGCGACATGCTAATGTAAATGAGTGATCTGAAAATAGACTTTGCATACTGTTGTGAATTTTAGATGAGTATTTTATTCGCCTTCTGTTTAATCAGATGAAACAGTGAACAGTATAAAACTGCAAAGTTTCAGAGAAATTATATCAATCATCTCATCATATTCTATCTACATAGCGAATCAACTAAATTGTTAGTCGAAAGCCAAAATGAATAAACTTTTTATTTTTCTCAGTTTAACTGTGGTTGCTTTAACTGCAACACAATATGCCGACGCTTGGCCAACGATGCCAACAATGGCGATAAAAATGGGTCTTCCTGGGTCTAAAAGTCATTCAACATCTAACTCCGCAGCTAATACTGTTCAACAACCAACTCCATCATCCGAATCAATTTCGAAAGCTAAGACAGAAAGCTTTACCAAGTCAGAATCGAATACCAATTCTGAGCAAACTACAAAGGAGAAGTACGCTGGATCAAACACAAACAGTGACTCTGTAAGCAACGCCTCCAATGAAAATGCGGATCAAATTATGACAAACGATTACTCTGATGATGATGAAAGCGGTTCGTCTGACTCCGATTCATCAGCATCATCATCTGGATCAGGTTCATCATCAGGTGCTGCTTCAGGTTCATCTGGAACATCATCTACTACTACTAGTACTACTACATCAGGATCAACTGCCACCGGTAATACTGCATCAACATCAGGAACTGGTTCATCATCTGGCTCAGCTTCATCTGGCTCAGGAGCATCATCTACTGCTGCTGCTTCAGGTTCAGGATCATCAGCCGCTTCAGGTTCAGGATCATCAGCCGCTTCAGGTTCAGGATCATCAGCCGCTTCAGGTTCAGGATCAGGTTCAGGTTCATCTACTGCTACTGGCTCCGGTTCATCAGGATCATCAGCTGCTTCAGGAAACAGTTCTGGTTCATCATCAGGAGCTGGTTCATCATCTGGTTCAGGATCATCATCAGGTGCTGCTGCTGCTTCAGGTTTAGGTTCAGGTTCAGGTTCAGGTTCATCTGGCTCATCAGCCGCTTCAGGTTCAGGATCATCAGCCGCTTCAGGTTCAGGTTCAGGTTCAGGTTCATCTGGCTCATCATCTACTACTACTAGTACTACTACATCAGGATCAACTGCCACCGGTAATACTGCATCAACATCAGGAACTGGTTCATCATCTGGCTCAGCTTCATCTGGCTCAGGAGCATCATCTACTGCTGCTGCTTCAGGTTCAGGATCATCAGCCGCTTCAGGTTCAGGATCATCAGCCGCTTCAGGTTCAGGATCATCAGCCGCTTCAGATTCAGGTTCATCTACTGCTACTGGCTCCGGTTCATCAGGATCATCAGCTGCTTCAGGAAACAGTTCTGGTTCATCATCAGGAGCTGGTTCATCATCTGGTTCAGGATCATCATCAGGTGCTGCTGCTTCAGGTTCAGGTTCAGGTTCAGGTTCATCTGGCTCATCATCTACTACTACTAGTACTACTACATCAGGATCATCAGCCGCCGGTAATACTGCATCAACATCAGGAACTGGTTCATCATCTGGCTCAGCTTCATCTGGCTCAGGAGCATCATCTACTGCTGCTGCTTCAGGTTCAGGATCATCAGCCGCTTCAGGTTCAGGATCAGGTTCAGGTTCATCTACTGCTACTGGCTCCGGTTCATCAGGATCATCAGCTGCTTCAGGAAACAGTTCTGGTTCATCATCAGGAGCTGGTTCATCATCTGGTTCAGGATCATCATCAGGTGCTGCTGCTGCTTCAGGTTCAGGATTATCAGCCGCTTCAGGTTCAGGATCAGGTTCAGGTTCATCTACTGCTACTGGCTCCGGTTCATCAGCTGCTTCAGGAAACAGTTCTGGTTCATCATCTGGTTCAGGATCATCATCAGGTGCTGCTGCTTCAGGTTCAGGATCATCAGCCGCTGGGTTCAGGATCAGGTTCAGGTTCATCTACTGCTACTGGCTCCGGTTCATCAGGATCATCAGCTGCTTCGAAACAGTTCTGGTTCATCATCAGGAGCTGGTTCATCATCTGGTTCAGGATCATCATCAGGTGCTGCTGCTGCAGGTTCAGGATCAGGTTCAGGTTCATCTGGCTCATCATCTACTACTAGTACTACTACATCAGGATCAACTGCCACCCGTAATACTGCATCAACATCAGGAACTGGTTCATCATCTGGCTCAGCTTCATCTGGCTCAGGGCATCATCTACTGCTGCTTCAGGTTCAGGATCATCAGCCGCTTCAGGTTCAGGTTCATCTACTGCTACTGGCTCCGGTTCATCAGGATCATCAGCCGCTTCAGGAAACAGTTCTGGTTCATCATCAGGAGCTGGTTCATCATCTGGTTCAGGATCATCTGGCTCATCATCTACTACTACTAGTACTACTACATCAGGATCAACTGCCACCGGTAATACTGCATCAACATCAGGAACTGGTTCATCATCTGGCTCAGGAGCATCATCTACTGCTGCTGCTTCAGGTTCAGGATCATCAGCCGCTTCAGATTCAGGTTCATCTACTGCTACTGGCTCCGGTTCATCAGGATCATCAGCCGCTTCAGGAAACAGTTCTGGTTCATCATCAGGAGCTGGTTCATCATCTGGTTCAGGATCATCTGGCTCATCATCTACTACTACTAGTACTACTACATCAGGATCAACTGCCACCGGTAATACTGCATCAACATCAGGAACTGGTTCATCATCTGGCTCAGGAGCATCATCTGCTGCTGCTTCAGGTTCAGGATCATCAGCCTTCAGATTCAGGTTCATCTACTGCTACTGGCTCCGGTTCATCAGGATCATCAGCTGCTTCAGGAAACAGTTCTGGTTCATCATCAGGAGCTGGTTCATCATCTGGTTCAGGATCATCATCAGGTGCTGCTGCGGCTTCAGGTTCAGGATCAGGTTCAGGTTCATCTGGCTCATCATCTACTACTAGTACTACTACATCAGGATCAACTGCCACCCGTAATACTGCATCAACATCAGGAACTGGTTCATCATCTGGCTCAGCTTCATCTGGCTCAGGAGCATCATCTACTGCTGCTGCTTCAGGTTCAGGATCATCAGCCGCTTCAGGTTCAGGTTCATCTACTGCTACTGGCTCCGGTTCATCAGGATCATCAGCCGCTTCAGGAAACAGTTCTGGTTCATCATCAGGAGCTGGTTCATCATCTGGTTCAGGATCATCTGGCTCATCATCTACTACTACTAGTACTACTACATCAGGATCAACTGCCACCGGTAATACTGCATCAACATCAGGAACTGGTTCATCATCTGGCTCAGGAGCATCATCTGCTGCTGCTTCAGGTTCAGGATCATCAGCCGCTTCAGGGTCAGGATCAGGATCAGGATCAGGTTCAGGTTCAGGTTCAGGTTCAGGTTCATCTACTGCTACTGGCTCCGGTTCATCAGGATCATCAGCCGCTTCAGGAAACAGTTCTGGTTCATCATCAGGAGCTGGTTCATCATCTGGTTCAGGATCATCATCAGGTGCTGCTGCTGCAGGTTCAGGATCAGGTTCAGGTTCATCTGGCTCATCATCTACTACTAGTACTACTACATCAGGATCAACTGCCACCCGTAATGCATCAACATCAGAACTGGTTCATCATCTGGCTCAGCTTCATCTGGCTCAGGGCATCATCTGCTGCTGCTTCAGGTTCAGGATCATCAGCCTTCAGGTTCAGGTTCATCTACTGCTACTGGCTCCGGTTCATCAGGATCATCAGCCGCTTCAGGAAACAGTTCTGGTTCATCATCAGGAGCTGGTTCATCATCTGGTTCAGGATCATCTGGCTCATCATCTACTACTACTAGTACTACTACATCAGGATCAACTGCCACCGGTACTGCATCAACATCAGGAACTGGTTCATCATCTGGCTCAGGAGCATCATCTACTGCTGCTGCTTCAGGTTCAGGATCATCAGCCGCTTCAGATTCAGGTTCATCTACTGGCTCCGGTTCATCAGGATCATCAGCTGCTTCAGGAAACAGTTCTGGTTCATCATCAGGGCTGGTTCATCATCTGGTTCAGGATCATCATCAGGTGCTGCTGCTGCTTCAGGTTCAGGATCAGGTTCAGGTTCATCTGGCTCATCATACTACTAGTACTACTACATCAGGATCAACTGCCACCCGTAATACTGCATCAACATCAGGAACTGGTTCATCATCTGGCTCAGCTTCATCTGGCTCAGGAGCATCATCTACTGCTGCTGCTTCAGGTTCAGGATCATCAGCCGCTTCAGGTTCAGGTTCATCTACTGCTACTGGCTCCGGTTCATCAGGATCATCAGCTGCTTCAGGAAACAGTTCTGGTTCATCATCAGGAGCTGGTTCATCATCTGGTTCAGGATCATCATCAGGTGCTGCTGCTGCTGCAGGTTCAGGATCAGGTTCAGGTTCATCTGGCTCATCATCTACTACTAGTACTACTACATCAGGATCAACTGCCACCCGTAATACTGCATCAACATCAGGAACTGGTTCATCATCTGGCTCAGCTTCATCTGGCTCAGGAGCATCATCTACTGCTGCTGCTTCAGGTTCAGGATCATCAGCCGCTTCAGGTTCAGGTTCATCTACTGCTACTGGCTCCGGTTCATCAGGATCATCAGCTGCTTCAGGAAACAGTTCTGGTTCATCATCAGGAGCTGATTCATCATCTGGTTCAGGTTCATCTGGCTCATCATCTACTACTACTAGTACTACTACATCAGGATCAACTGCCACCGGTAATACTGCATCAACATCAGGAACTGGTTCATCATCTGGCTCAGGAGCATCATCTACTGCTGCTGCTTCAGGTTCAGGATCATCAGCCGCTTCAGATTCAGGTTCATCTACTGCTACTGGCTCCGGTTCATCAGGATCATCAGCTGCTTCAGGAAACAGTTCTGGTTCATCATCAGGAGCTGGTTCATCATCTGGTTCAGGATCATCATCAGGTGCTGCTGCTTCAGGTTCAGGATCAGGTTCAGGTTCATCTGGCTCATCATCTACTACTAGTACTACTACATCAGGATCAACTGCCACCCGTAATGCATCAACATCAGGAACTGGTTCATCATCTGGCTCAGCTTCATCTGGCTCAGGGCATCATACTGCTGCTGCTTCAGGTTCAGGATCATCAGCCGCTTCAGGTTCAGGTTCATCTACTGCTACTGGCTCCGGTTCATCAGGATCATCAGCCGCTTCAGGAAACAGTTCTGGTTCATCATCAGGAGCTGGTTCATCATCTGGTTCAGGATCATCTGGCTCATCATCTACTACTACTAGTACTACTACATCAGGATCAACTGCCACCGGTAATACTGCATCAACATCAGGAACTGGTTCATCATCTGGCTCAGGAGCATCATCTGCTGCTGCTTCAGGTTCAGGATCATCAGCCGCTTCAGGGTCAGGATCAGGATCAGGTTCAGGTTCAGGTTCAGGTTCAGGTTCATCTACTGCTACTGGCTCCGGTTCATCAGGATCATCAGCCGCTTCAGGAAACAGTTCTGGTTCATCATCAGGAGCTGGTTCATCATCTGGTTCAGGATCATCATCAGGTGCTGCTGCTTCAGGTTCAGGTTCAGGTTCAGGTTCAGGTTCATCTGGCTCATCATCTACTACTAGTACTACTACATCAGGATCATCAGCCGCCGGTAATACTGCATCAACATCAGGAACTGGTTCATCATCTGGCTCAGCTTCATCTGGCTCAGGAGTATCATCTACTGCTGCTGCTTCAGGTTCAGGATCATCAGCCGCTTCAGGTTCAGGATCAGGTTCGGGTTCATCTACTGCTAATGGCTCCGGTTCATCAGGATCATCAGCTGCTTCAGGAAACAGTTCTGGTTCATCATCAGGAGCTGGTTCATCATCTGGTTCAGGATCATCATCAGGTGCTGCTGCTGCTTCAGGTTCAGGATCAGGTTCAGGTTCATCTGGCTCATCATCTACTACTACTAGTACTACTACATCAGGATCATCAGCCGCCGGTAATACTGCATCAACATCAGGAACTGGTTCATCATCTGGCTCAGCTTCATCTGGCTCAGGAGCATCATCTACTGCTGCTGCTTCAGGTTCAGGATCATCAGCCGCTTCAGGTTCAGGTTCATCTACTGCTACTGGCTCCGGTTCATCAGGATCATCAGCTGCTTCAGGAAACAGTTCTGGTTCATCATCAGGAGCTGATTCATCATCTGGTTCAGGATCATCTGGCTCATCATCTACTACTACTAGTACTACTACATCAGGATCAACTGCCACCGGTAATACTGCATCAACATCAGGAACTGGTTCATCATCTGGCTCAGGAGCATCATCTGCTGCTGCTTCAGGTTCAGGATCATCAGCCGCTTCAGGGTCAGGATCAGGTTCAGGTTCATCTACTGCTACTGGCTCCGGTTCATCAGGATCATCAGCCGCTTCAGGAAACAGTTCTGGTTCATCATCAGGAGCTGGTTCATCATCTGTTCAGGATCATCATCAGGTGCTGCTGCTGCTTCAGGTTCAGGATCATCAGCCGCTCAGGTTCAGGATCAGGTTCAGGTTCATCTACTGCTACTGGCTCCGGTTCATCAGCTGCTTCGGAAACAGTTCTGGTTCATCATCTGGTTCAGGATCATCATCAGGTGCTGCTGCTGCTTCAGGTTCAGGTTCAGGTTCAGGTTCAGGTTCAGGTTCATCTGGCTCATCATCTACTACTACTAGTACTACTACATCAGGATCAACTGCCACCGGTAATACTGCATCAACATCAGGAGCTGGTTCATCATCTGGTTCAGGATCATCATCAGGTGCTGCTGCTGCTTCAGGTTCAGGTTCAGGTTCAGGTTCAGGATCAGGTTCAGGTTCATCTACTGCAACTGGCTCCGGTTCATCAGGATCATCAGCTGCTTCAGGAAACAGTTCTGGTTCATCATCAGGAGCTGGTTCATCATCTGGTTCAGGATCATCATCAGGTGCTGCTGCTTCAGGTTCAGGTTCAGGTTCAGGTTCAGGTTCATCTGGCTCATCATCTACTACTACTAGTACTACTACATCAGGATCATCAGCCGCCGGTAATACTGCATCAACATCAGGAACTGGTTCATCATCTGGCTCAGCTTCATCTGGCTCAGGAGCATCATCTACTGCTGCTGCTTCAGGTTCAGGATCATCAGCCGCTTCAGGTTCAGGTTCATCTGCTACTGGCTCCGGTTCATCAGGATCATCAGCTGCTTCGAAACAGTTCTGGTTCATCATCAGGAGCTGATTCATCATCAGTTCAGGTTCATCTGGCTCATCATCTACTACGTACTACTACATCAGGATCAACTGGCACCGGTAATACTGCATCAACATCAGGAACTGGTTCATCATCTGGCTCAGGAGCATCATCTACTGCTGCTGCTTCAGGTTCAGGATCATCAGCCGCTTCAGATTCAGGATCAGGTTCAGGTTCATCTACTGCTACTGGCTCCGGTTCATCAGGATCATCAGCTGCTTCAGGAAACAGTTCTGGTTCATCATCAGGAGCTGGTTCATCATCTGGTTCAGGATCATCATCAGGTGCTGCTGCTGCTTCAGGTTCAGGATCATCAGCCGCTTCAGGTTCAGGATCAGGTTCAGGTTCATCTACTGCTACTGGCTCCGGTTCATCAGCTGCTTCAGGAAACAGTTCTGGTTCATCATCTGGTTCAGGATCATCATCAGGTGCTGCTGCTGCTTCAGGTTCAGGATCATCAGCTGCTTCAGGTTCAGGATCAGGTTCAGGTTCATCTGGCTCATCATCTACTACTACTAGTACTACTACATCAGGATCAACTGCCACCGGTAATACTGCATCAACATCAGGAACTGGTTCATCATCTGGCTCAGGAGCATCATCTACTGCTGCTGCTTCAGGTTCAGGATCATCAGCCGCTTCAGATTCAGGATCAGGTTCAGGTTCATCTACTGCTACTGGCTCCGGTTCATCAGGATCATCAGCTGCTTCAGGAAACAGTTCTGGTTCATCATCAGGAGCTGGTTCATCATCTGGTTCAGGATCATCATCAGGTGCTGCTGCTTCAGGTTCAGGTTCAGGTTCAGGTTCAGGTTCATCTGGCTCATCATCTACTACTACTAGTACTACTACATCAGGATCATCAGCCGCCGGTAATACTGCATCAACATCAGGAACTGGTTCATCATCTGGCTCAGCTTCATCTGGCTCAGGAGCATCATCTACTGCTGCTGCTTCAGGTTCAGGATCATCAGCCGCTTCAGGTTCAGGATCAGGTTCAGGTTCATCTACTGCTACTGGCTCCGGTTCATCAGGATCATCAGAAAACAGTTCTGGTTCATCATCTGGTTCAGGATCATCATCAGGTGCTGCTGCTGCTTCAGGTTCAGGATCATCAGCCGCTTCAGGTTCAGGATCAGGTTCAGGTTCATCTACTGCTACTGGCTCCGGTTCATCAGGATCATCAGCTGCTTCAGGAAACAGTTCTGGTTCATCATCTGGTTCAGGATCATCATCAGGTGCTGCTGCTGCTTCAGGTTCAGGATCATCAGCTGCTTCAGGTTCAGGATCAGGTTCAGGTTCATCTGGCTCATCATCTACTACTAGTACTACTACATCAGGATCAACTGCCACCCGTAATACTGCATCAACATCAGGAACTGGTTCATCATCTGGCTCAGCTTCATCTGGCTCAGGAGCATCATCTACTGCTGCTGCTTCAGGTTCAGGATCATCAGCCGCTTCAGGTTCAGGTTCATCTACTGCTACTGGCTCCGGTTCATCAGGATCATCAGCTGCTTCAGGAAACAGTTCTGGTTCATCATCAGGAGCTGATTCATCATCTGGTTCAGGTTCATCTGGCTCATCATCTACTACTACTACTACTAGTACTACTACATCAGGATCAACTGCCACCGGTAATACTGCATCAACATCAGGAACTGGTTCATCATCTGGCTCAGGAGCATCATCTACTGCTGCTGCTTCAGGTTCAGGATCATCAGCCGCTTCAGGTTCAGGATCATCAGCCGCTTCAGATTCAGGTTCATCTACTGCTACTGGCTCCGGTTCATCAGGATCATCAGCTGCTTCAGGAAACAGTTCTGGTTCATCATCAGGAGCTGGTTCATCATCTGGTTCAGGATCATCATCAGGTGCTGCTGCTGCTTCAGGTTCAGGATCAGGTTCAGGTTCATCTGGCTCATCATCTACTACTACTAGTACTACTACATCAGGATCAACTGCCACCCGTAATACTGCATCAACATCAGGAACTGGTTCATCATCTGGCACAGCTTCATCTGGCTCAGGAGCTTCATCTACTGCTGCTGCTTTAGGTTCAGGATCATCAGCCGCTTCAGGTTCAGGATCAGGTTCAGGTTCATCTACTGCCACTGGCTCTGGTTCATCAGGATCATCAGCTGCTTCAGGAAACAGTTCTGGTTCATCATCAGGAGCTGGTTCATCATCTGGTTCAGGATCATCATCAGGTGCTGCTGCTGCTTCAGGTTCAGGATCAGGTTCAGGTTCATCTGGCTCATCATCTACTACTACTAGTACTACTACATCAGGATCAACTGCCACCCGTAATACTGCATCAACATCAGGAACTGGTTCATCATCTGGCACAGCTTCATCTGGCTCAGGAGCTTCATCTACTGCTGCTGCTTTAGGTTCAGGATCATCAGCCGCTTCAGGTTCAGGTTCATCTACTGCTACTGGCTCCGGTTCATCAGGATCATCAGCTGCTTCAGGAAACAGTTCTGGTTCATCATCTGGTTCAGGTTCATCTGGCTCATCATCTACTACTACTAGTACTACTACATCAGGATCAACTGCCACCGGTAATACTGCATCAACATCAGGAACTGGTTCATCTGGCTCAGGAGCATCATCTACTGCTGCTGCCAGGTTCAGGATCATCAGCCGCTTCAGGTTCAGGATCATCAGCCGCTTCAGATTCAGGTTCATCTACTGCTACTGGCTCCGGTTCATCAGGATCATCAGCTGCTTAGGAAACAGTTCTGGTTCATCATCAGGAGCTGGTTCATCATCTGGTTCAGGATCATCATCTGCTGCTGCTTCAGGTTCAGGATCAGGTTCAGGTTCATCTGGCTCATCATCACTACTACTAGTACTACTACATCAGGATCAACTGCCACCGTAATACTGCATCAACATCAGGAACTGGTCATCATCTGGCACAGCTTCATCTGGCTCAGGAGCTTCATCTACTGCTGCTGCTTTAGGTTCAGGATCATCAGCCGCTTCAGGTTCAGGATCAGGTTCAGGTTCATCTACTGCCACTGGCTCTGGTTCATCAGGATCATCAGCTGCTTCAGGAAACAGTTCTGGTTCATCATCAGAGCTGGTTCATCATCTGGTTCAGGATCATCATGCTGCTGCTGCTTCAGGTTCAGGATCAGGTTCAGGTTCATCTGGCTCATCATCTACTACTACTAGTACTACATCAGGATCAACTGCCACCCGTAATACTGCATCAACATCAGGAACTGGTTCATCATCTGGCACAGCTTCATCTGGCTCAGGAGCTCATCTACTGCTGCTTTAGGTTCAGGATCATCAGCCGCTTCAGGTTCAGGATCAGGTTCAGGTTCATCTACTGCTACTGGCTCCGGTTCATCAGGATCATCAGCTGCCCAGGAAACAGTTCTGGTTCATCATCAGGAGCTGGTTCATCATCTGTTCAGGATCATCATGTGCTGCTGCTGTCAGGTTCAGGATCATCAGCTTCAGGTTCAGGATCAGGTTCAGGTTCATCTGGTTCATCATCTACTACTACTAGTACTACTACATCAGGATCGACTGCCACCGGTAATACTGCATCAACATCAGGAACTGGTTCATCATCTGGCTCAGCTTCATCTGGCTCAGGAGCATCATCTACTGCTGCTGCTTCAGGTTCAGGATCATCAGCCGCTTCAGGTTCAGGATCAGGTTCAGGTTCATCTACTGCTACTGGCTCCGGTTCATCAGGATCATCAGCTGCTTCAGGAAACAGTTTTGGTTCAGCATCTGGTTCAGGATCATCATCAGGTGCAGCTGTTGCGAAAACTTATAAAAATGAGATTGGACAAAAATGTGTTTGTTATGCATAATAATAAGCGTTGTATGCAATACGTCATTCTTCCTTTACGATGTAGTGATACTATAAGTCTGCCCAATTCAGAAATGATACATTTTCTTTTTCATATTATTTGTCTCAAATAAATTTATTAAAAATAATAATCAAATATCTTGCTGAGTGTATTCATTTGAAAATATGTGTATTTGAATGCGGAGATAAAGAAAAAGAATCAGCTAGTAATTAACATTGCTTTTTTACTGACGATTTAATAAAAAATGCTTCTCTTGGGAATTAAATGTAACTTTTTTGAGACACCACGGTGCACAGATCGGACCTAACTTTTTAGATGTAACTTTGCATGACAACTTCAACGAAGAACTCAGTTTACTTGTAGACACGAAGCTCAGACATCACTTAGGTTTTGATTTATATCCATTTCATAAAATTTGAAGAAGTTCAGCACAAAATCTTACATTTTGGCTAACCTCCTTTTGCTTATCTTTATCATTGATCCAGAAGATAAATTGTGACATATAGTACTTTTATTTTGAATTTTTTGCACACGATTATCAAAGTCCTGGAGTGTTAATTGACTGACAATTTTCATTCAGCCAAGGTCTAAATTTTATGTTGTTCACTTGATAATTTGCATTTCGTTTAGAAGATACATGTTAATTCTGAACTCAGCGGAGGTCGATTTCAGGGTTGACATACTCTCTTCTCATTAATCCCTATCATTTAATAATGTACGTATGAACTGTCATATTATTGATGAAATTGAAATTCTGAATTTCACTCATCACTATATTTTGCACTACCATAACAGAAAATAAGAGAATTAAAAATTCTACCCCTCTAAATTTTTTTTGGATTTACGTTTAATATTAGTAATGAAATATAAGTATGTATAATAAATTTCAAAATAAAATGATATAAACGTGATCAAAGTCAATCAACTTCTCATGATACAATTATCGTTTAATCAATGTATTAATATTAATATCATTTATTCTCAAGCTACTCAGTAAAATCATCTGGTTATTCATTATATTAATAAAATCTCGAGTGTTTACACCATAACCATTCCCATTAACTTGTGCAAATATTAGGAAGGAAAAAATAATGTGAACAATTGCCAATTAACAGTTAATTAGCTTCAGTTTATTCATCATTACCTAATTATCTCCTCAACTGCTATATAAACTTATATCTACTCAATTAACAGATAATAGTTCAAAAGATAATATTGAAATGTTGAAACGCAGAGCAAGAGGCGTGCCGTACACTTAACTAAAAGGATTCATCTTTTAGTGATTTATTAATATTGTCTCTTAATTAGGTTAATCTGATTCAAATCACATAAATTATCAAACAGAGATAAATGAGTTTGATTGTTCATTCATCTCTTTGGTTCATAATTATACTCTCGTGTTGAAAATGATGGGCAGATTCACTTGTATGAATGAGTTGTAGATTTTAGAAGAGACAAATTAAGTCACATATGAGGCACAGTTATAGCGGTGGTGATGGCAAGGCAAAACATTTTCTCCACCTTCTTTTCTTTCTTTCAGATAAAATTGGTATTACCAATTTGGTATTAATAGTTAACAAGATGAGTCTAGATGAGGATTAATTTCAGCCAGTTATTTTTGATATTATCTGCGGTCAATCAAAAACAAAGCAAAAAATCCTCTGGTTAATTAATCTTCTGTTAATTTCTTGCTTTGGAGCTCATTGCTTATCGGATAAAACTTTTTTTGCATTCTATCTATCTACGAAATACTGAGCTCTTCAATATTGGTCACAAGAGGTCACACTTTTTGCAATTTTTTCATGATGCTATAATGTCATGCGTATTCAATGAGAACTTTGGCAATAGAATTGTTTCTTATTCGAAAGTATTCAAATATAACAAGGGATCAAACCATCAAACAATATAATGTATTATAAATTGTGCTTCCAATAGTTTATTCAGTTTTCTCAGTTTCATTATTTTTTTCGTCCCTTCGTCCTGCCTATTATTGGATGGAAAACAATATTTACCTGGATTTGCATCCAGCTACAAGTAATTTTTTCTAGAAAAATTCATATCTAAAAACCTAAATTTCCATAAAAGTCACGCAATCCTAAAGTAAATTCACCATAACTATCGTTATTATTTTGTTATTTCTCCATCTTTATCTTAAGTCTTTACCAGTAAAATTTAATCACTAGTAAAAGTTTTTCGTTTACATGTTATTTTTTCCATAATTCTGCATATGAATACCCAATTCTTATGAAACATGATTGATTCAAATTCATTTTCTTTTACTTTTTTTACTATTCATTATTTTCTTATTATTAATACTTGAAATACCTTATCATCTTTTATTAATAATAAAGCGAATCTTTCATTATTATCATTACTTCCCGAATGTGATCATATTTGCCTTATTAATAGTTTTCCCATGTTTTCACTTTTACCTTGAAAATTCTCTCTCTCTCTCTTTTTCTTTCTTTCTTTCTTTCTCTCTTGTTACTTCATCACCATGTTTACCTTATTCTCTCATTATCATTATCATCCTAATCATAATCAGTTATATCAAGAACGATAATCGATGATTCATTTTTGCTTTTCTTTCATGTTCTCTTATCTAAAAGCTGCCATTATTGGTATTCCTGAGTTTGTTGAAACTTCTATTGTACTTCGTAAGGATAAAAGTAACGAGCTTGGGATAACAATCACTGGTGGATGTGACACTTACCTGGTAATTACCTTTTTTTTAGTTCGTATAAAATTATACTACATTGTTTATCTTTACAATTACAACTGATAAATTTTCATTGATATTCTACAGTTTGTAAATACTAGACAGATTTTGTTGATTCAAGGGATCAATTTGAAATGAGTGTTGAAGAGGGAGAAAAAGAATTGAGCCAAGAACCTTTAGAATTTCATGAATTCATGAATAGTTCATTCTCGATAGTTGAAAGATTATTTTCTTCCAATGACTTTTGATTGGAATTATACTTGGAGCGATTTTTCTGAGACTGACATTCTTTTTGATATAAGAATAATATTAGTATTACAAATGAGAAAACTTAACTATAACTGAGGAAAAAGAAAACAATCAAGTCTAAACAATATGTTTATTCACCTAAGAAATTTATGTTTATCAATGAGAAAGGTCAAAGTTTGTTCCAAATAAGGTAAACTAATAAAACCGTCAGATCTTGTTACTGGCTTGTAATTATCAGTCCATTGTCATTGCAGTTGACTGAATAGTATAAATGTATAAAGTTTATTTCTAAAATTGTCTAAAAGTAAAAAAATAATCTTCCAAACTAAATGTCAAAAATCAAACTTTTCCCCTTTCGTAATGATGACAATCTATTTTTCTACAAAATACCCAATTGAAATTTTATTTTGATTCACATGTTCTCGTTGTAAATAATTAATGTGTGTCAAGTTGTTTCGAGAAAATTGAAAATTACCTCGAGTTCTCGCAAGGGAATGAAGATTTTCTCGTGACTTTCATCTCACTGATTTCTATCGAAGAGAGATTATGAAACAATTAGTGGGATTAAATTCGCTTTTTATTGAGCTAGAAAATGGAAGGGTAAAAGAATCAGAGATTTAACACATTAGTGGTATTGAATCGATTGTGAACTTTCATTCTCAAGGAAAAAAGTTCTCGTCATGAGTTCTACAATTTAACTGGGTACGAGTGATAACTTTTCAATTCATTCTTTGGACATGGAAAATGACAAAGTAAATCTTTTCATTCCATAAATTGACAGCTAAAAGATTGAAGTTGGAAAATTGACGAGGATCTGCTAATTAATAATTAATAATAATGATTATTAAAGATCCATGAAAATCGTCAAGAAAATTTTCATATTCATTTTTATCAAAAAAAAATCTTACCCAATATCATACATCAAATACAGGTTGAGATGAAATTTCATGTTAACGTTATCCCTTTAATTTAACCAGGAATAAAAGATAGAAATCAAAAGACAGAATTTCAATCAAATAAGCAGCTTAATTCTGTTTGTTTGTCTGATTGAAACAGATTAATCCTTACATTCTGTTAGCATTAAAATAGACGAAAATTGTCAAACTTTATCAATGTCAAATCAAGTGAATGAAAGAGAATCAACATCCATTTCCAATGGGAAAACCTTCTGATCGTTCAGTAAATTCTGTTGATTTAATCTTTTTTCCAGGACAAGGTACATGGAGAGAGAGAGAGAAGAAAAAAGATTAAATAGATTTCTTATTAGTTACTTTAATTGTTTTTCTCTTTTCGATGTGTATATAAACAAATAATACTAATAATCATTAGCATTAATTCAAGAATATATATTTCCTTCATCGACTGACCTCTTGGACACATCTACTTTTACTTAAATGTTCATAATGATGATCAAGGAATCAATAGTGGTCTTTGAAGTTAATTTTGATGGAGCTGCTTATAAGGATGGACGATTAAGAAAAGGTGACCTAATATTAGCAGTTAATGACATTTCTTTTCGTGAAGTCTCATACCAAGATGCTCTAAGGGTATTAAGGGAAGCTTCAAGTCCATTAAAGCTATTGGTCCTTCGTGAAAATCCTCAAACACTTTTCACTATTTCTCAAAGTAAGTGTTTTCTTTTTCCATTAAGAAAACTATATAATAACTATTTGAACCATAGTTAATCAATTTCTATCCGATAATCATTCATTGTATCAAATATAAAATAACAGGAGAAAAAGAAAAGGTTTGAAATTTGATACCATTTTTCTGATAATAATAATAATACAGTTCATCAGCATCATAATATCAGTTAACCTTCAATATCGGTTGAACGTTGTAGTTTTTTTATCAATCTGAAACTTTTACTACAATAGATAATCTTACTTTTAGCCAAAATCGTTTCCAATTACATGTTAGTTTTAACCTGAGCAATAATAATAACATTGAATACTAGTACATGAATGCATGATAAATGATATGATAACTTTGAAAAGTTTTCGAATGAAACTTTTTCTTTTTTCAGCTTACCGAAATTCAGGAATAAGGTGAAAGATATCGTATGATGTTTAATGAGAAACTTTGTGGTGACAATATTATGTGTTCAGTTTTGAAAAAGAATCTAGTAAAGTGATAGGAAATTGTATCTGAAATCCTCGAGGGTTTATTTCCGTTTGAATTTTTCGTTGGATGGAAAAGAGAAAAAAATTATTTCCATCGTTTTTATCATTCACTTTACTCTAATCAAAATAATCATCATAAAGAAGAGAGAAGAGAAAAAAATCCCTTGATATTTATTTGCTAATGTATTTTCACCAATTCATTTACAATGTTATTCTCGTTGAAGATTCAGTGTAATTTCATTATTCTCAGGCATTCAGTCATCAGAACTACAAACAATAAATATGAATGTAAATATGAATGATGATGAACAATAGAAAATGAATTTTCTATTAGAGCATAAGAAGAGAAATTGCGTATAAATTTTCGATTTTCTTTTGTTATCTCATATGTTTATCTTTTATTTTTCTTCTTTTTTCAAATTCCCAGAAAAATTCAATGTAAGAAGAAGATGAAATTTCTTTTTATTCCAGCCAAATAATCATATATATTCTGTATTCACACTTTTCAATCATCTTTTCAAATTCTATTTTCAACTCTTATATTTAATATAAATCAATCTTCATCATTTTCCAACTTTTCTCGATTCTATCTCTTATTCATTCCGTCAATTCGCCCATCTTATTTCATTTTATCTCTCTCTCTCTCTCTCTCTCTCTCTCTCTCTCTCTTATTTGATTTTCTATTGGGTACATTCTTTCCTTACACCTAAAAGATCCAACGAAATTCATAACTGTTACTCTTCGCAAGGGAAGTATAAAAGATAAACTTGGAGTGAGCTTCGTTCAACGTACTAATGGTCGAGGAGTTTTCATCACTTATGTCGTAAGTATCAAAGGTGAATTGATCATATCTCTTATCTTGAGGATCATTAAAACTTGCTTCTCATATAATACTCGGCAATATTATGCTTGTTACATAATAGTATTCATTGTAGCTGGATTGCCTTAATTACCATAACAACAAGAAACATGCATCAAAAATGCTTTTGCTTTGATAAGCGTTAATTTTTATGATCTTTTTTCTCTTCCTCTTCCATTCAGTTGTTATGGTGAAGTTGATTCCATTATTCTGACAGTTCCAACTATTTACTACTTACTCTCATGTAACTAATCAATTTGCATTCTCCTCATGAATTTCAACGTTATAACAACAAACCTTGACATTATATGAATGTGAATCTATTACAATAATTAAATTAAACACTTTGTTTTTCTTGTTTGGTTTCATTTTCATAATGAATGACAGTTTCAATTAACAGTTAGTTTTATGGAAACAAAAAGTTTAATTTTAATTTGATTTTCATTCTTTCATTCAGAATGTTATTTGATTGATTTTTTGCTGCTACTCGACTATTATTATTATTAGTGTTTTTGTTCTTATTTAGCAACCAGGCAGTATTGCAGCTCGAGTTGGTAAATTGATGCAAGGTGATCAAATACTAGAGATTAATGGACAAAATGTACGAGATAGTAATCAGAAGGACGTCTCACAAATGATTAACAATTTAGATGGTGAAATTGTACTTCTTGTCGGACGAAATGCAAGTTTATCGAATGCAATAGTTGAATGGTGTCGTAAAAAGTCACAGATTCATTGGAGAACTCGGACCTCAACCTGGTCAGCTTATGGTGGTAGTAAGGAGAAGGTTCAGAACCAAAGGCCAAGTTTACCAGCGGCCAAAGATCAACCCTATTTCTCAGCAAAATATTCACCCGACAAGGAGCACATTCCTTCTGGTACAAGCTTCACTTTTACAACGAACTGTATGCCAGGTACATCTAATAGTATAGAGAACGACGATCCAAACATTGCCAGTCGATCTTCTTCGATTCGTAGTCGAACACGGTTATCAATCGTTGTAGAAGATCGTAAACAGCCTCAAGACTCAGTTGATGATGAAGATGATTGTGAGGGCACAATTTTTGGGCCCAATCCATTGTTACCCTCAATTCAGGTGACTGAATTTTAAATGTTAGCTATATTCAATTTTCTAACTACCCTCCAAGCTTTTCTGGGAAAACAAGGTACAAAGAAGTGATATTGTCAAACCAGTTCTCATATGGACGTTCTATCGTTTCAACTAATTGTAAATTGAAAATTTTTTAAATAAGCAATAACAAAAAAGTATTGTACTACACTAACTCAGCTCAAAAATAATTTAAAATTATTAAGATTCACGTTGATGATGCAAACATTGAAGAAGAACCTGGAGCACTACAAAGACATCACCATACAACAGCTTATTGAATTCTGCACTCACTAAAAATAGAACCAATATTGTAGGGTTCAAAAATTATAAATTTTTCAAATTTTCGCTCTACCTAATTAGTCACTACCTGCACGAATGATTAAAAATCATTCGAAACTCATTTTTCACGACTGCATATTGGAGCAGCGATCATGTTGGCCGTCAAACTCCTTGTAACAATTATTCGTATTCTAATACATGTATGTTACCTTAGCAAATTACGACTTCCACTGTTTTCTACGTGCCATGTACCGTAATATATTGTGAGTTTTCTAAAAGGTTATTTAATTTGAAGGTTAAGTTGACTTTTTTTCAACAGATCAAATTCCAATTATTTACTTGAAAGAGTTTGCAAAGATCCTTATTGGTCTTTGAAATTGTTTTTCTCTTTCACTGGCCTCTTCTAAACGACGAACAGTTAAAAGATTGATTGAACGAAATGGTAAAGATTAAGAAAAAATGGTAGTTGACCTCTGGCTCTCTTCTAATCATTGATATCAGGTTATTGTCCATTAAGCAAAAAGACGTTGAAATTACATTTGCACTGTAATCAATTGTATCGGTAACTTTTTCTATCACATTATTGTTACCAGATCCACCAACAATCAACAATGTGGTCAGATCAGTTTTTGGTTGGTTATTGGTTCGTGAAATGGGTACTAAAAATCTGCATGGAATGAAGTTGAGTAGTTCTGTAAAATCTTTTGATTGTTTCTGTTTAGTTATAGTTGTTAATTTGATTGCTCCAACACATCATCATAATTAGGATTTCTGTCGAACGTGAAAAGTTCTAGTAACTAGAGCATTCAGAAGAATAGGTCGAATGGTAACAGAGACTTTGGTCAATTTTTAATTTGTCCAGTATAATTTAATTGCAGTCGTTCAAGTTCAAATGAACTATTAGGGTCTTCTTTAAGTCTTTATCCTAAGATAGTTAGAAAAGCGATAGCTAGAAAAAAACTGGAAAAATCATTTTAAACTATGTAGAAGGTGATCCTGTAAATTTGGTCGCTACAGAACTTAAGGCCTTTTTTCTAAATCAATTCAAAGTCCAAATTGCAGCTGCTGAACAAGAGAAATTATCGAGTTTTCGAAGCTCGTTTTTTGAAATCAATCAAAAATAGCAAAAAACGAGTAAAATTTGCTTTCTCATTCCCTCGCTTGTCTAGATAAGATTCTCAGTGACTATTATGCGCTATTAAATCCGAAAAAATTCATTCGAAAAAAAAATTTGCCTCAATTGAGGAGTTATGAGCCAAACGGGGCGACTTTTCGAAGATCGGCCGAAAAGTTGACCTGCTGTTGAAGTTCTAGTTTTTTACTGCCGAGTATTAGTCCAAGGTATTATCGACTCAAATTAGAAGTCTCTAGCTCATCTAAAACACTGTTAGACTAAAAACTTAAAGAAGACCCTAATATTTATAGAGACACTGGAATGGCTTAAAACATTAAACTGCGCGTGCTTGAGGTTGTTCATCTGAAAGAAGGATCCAGAGAGTTCAAGGAAGAGAAAGAGAGAGAGAAAAGAGAAGAAAATAAGAGTTAAGAGATAGAGGTAACTACAGGGCGACTACGCTAAATTAACAAATTTGTTTTCAGAATAACTTGAGAACGGAGAGTCGTCAGCAAAATCAGATCGCAGATATGGACTTGGGAGAACATAGGAATTTGTAGGATATTAGTTTCGAAATTGGCCAACCGAAAGGTCAATTTTGAACTTAATATCAAACAAATTCCCATGGTCTCCCAAGTCCATATCTGCGATCTGATTTTGCCAACGACTCTCCGTTCTCAAGTTATTCTGAAAACAAATCTGTTAATTTAACGTAATCGCCCTGTATATCAGTTTTCAGATGACTTCTCTAATAAAAACTCGGAGGTCTTAAGGCACCTCATCTCACGTTAGGTCTGTTTTTTTGCTTTTTTTCAACGGAAAAAATACATGTGAATGGATGGAATAGGAAATTTTATTTAGTTACGTTCATGTTTCGACCTTCGTTTTTCTAATCGTAATCATCATAATATTGAACTTTTCATCAATTGCTAATGATGCGCGATATTTGAAAAAATTAACATCGACGATAACGATATTTAGATTTTTTATAATCGAAAAAATCGATTTTTAGCGGCAGAGAGAAAGACAGTGATTAATGTAAGAGCTGAAGGAAAAATCGGTGAAAAAAGAGAAAAAAGAAAGAGAAATATTTATCGATATTGTTTTTTTTATATCGATGATGAAGGGTGCTCAAAATAAAAAATTAAAATTATCTCTGTTCAGATAATGAAAAAATCAAGACTGAATGAAACGTAATCATCAAATTATCAGTATTAGTCAAAGATAATTTTAAGTTTTTATTTTGAACACCCTTTATTTATCGATACCGATAATATCGCCCATCACTATTAATTGCGACTATGTAACATCTGTGCAAATGTATTCAAACACACGGACCTAATCACGAGTCAGATAAATACACGCAAATAACTTGATCGAATTTTAATCTATAGATAGAAACTGCATTTGAAAACTAAATAATCAATGAGTAACATACTTAACGCAAAGAATCAACATTCTATTCACTTTCTTAAACTAATGTTTCTTTAACTTTGCTGGCCGATTTAATACGCAGATATTAAGATGTTCGCGATACTAGCAAAAATAAAATTATTCTTAATTGTACGTGTTAGCTATGTGGTATTCAAGCAGAAATCTGTATAATAAATAACTTAAATAAAAATTTAACACATTTTCTGGAGGAATGAATTTTACTCAGAAAACTTTATTGCATATTAGAAGTATGTCAAAATACAATCTAGCTGTACAGAATTACAGAATTATGCATAACAGATACAATTATTTCCAAACCCATTGACATATGTTTTTGCCGCCCTTGCACCTGATCCTGATCCTGAACCTGAAGCGGCTGATGATCCTGAACCTGAACCTGAAGCAGCAGCAGCACCTGATGATGATCCTGAACCAGATGATGAACCAGCTCCTGATGATGAACCAGCTCCTGATGATGAACCAGAACTGGCACCTGAAGCAGCTGATGATCCTGATGAACCGGAGCCAGTAGCAGTAGATGAACCTGAACCTGATCCTGAACCTGAAGCGGCTGATGATCCTGAACCCAGCAGCAGATGATGCTCCTGAGCCAGATGAAGCTGAGCCAGATGATGAACCAGTTCCTGATGTTGATGCAGTATTACCGGTGGCAGTTGATCCTGATGTAGTAGTACTAGTAGTAGTAGATGATGAGCCAGATGAACCTGAACCTGAAGCAGCAGCAGTAGATGATGCTCCTGAGCCAGATGATGAACCAGCTCCTGATGATGAACCAGAACTGTTTCTGAAGCAGCTGATGATCCTGATGAACCGGAGCCAGTAGCAGATGAACCTGAACCTGATCCTGAACCTGAAGCAGCAGTAGATGATGCCTGAGCCAGATGAAGCTGAGCCAGATGATGAACCAGTTCCTGATGTTGATGCAGTATTACCGGTGGCAGTTGATCCTGATGTAGTAGTACTAGTAGTAGTAGATGATGAGCCAGATGAACCTGAACCTGAACCTGAACCTGAACCTGATCCTGAACCTGAAGCGGCTGATGATCCTGAACCTGAAGCAGCAGCAGTAGATGATGCTCCTGAGCCAGATGCTCCTGAGCCAGATGAAGCTGAGCCAGATGATGAACCAGTTCCTGATGTTGATGCAGTATTACCGGTGGCAGTTGATCCTGATGTAGTAGTACTAGTAGTAGTAGATGATGAGCCAGATGAACCTGAACCTGAAGCAGCAGCAGCACCTGATGATGATCCTGAACCAGATGATGAACCAGAACTGTTTCCTGAAGCAGCTGATGATCCTGATGAACCGGAGCCAGTAGCAGTAGATGAACCTAAACCTGATCCTGAACCTGAAGCGGCTGATGATCCTGAACCTGAAGCAGCAGCAGTAGATGATGCTCCTGAGCCAGATGAAGCTGAGCCAGATGATGAACCAGTTCCTGATGTTGATGCAGTATTACCGGTGGCAGTTGATCCTGATGTAGTAGTACTAGTAGTAGTAGATGATGAGCCAGATGAACCTGAACCTGAAGCAGCAGCAGCACCTGATGATGATCCTGAACCAGATGATGAACCAGCTCCTGATGATGAACCAGAACTGTTTCCTGAAGCAGCTGATGATCCTGATGAACCGGAGCCAGTAGCAGTAGATGAACCTGAACCTGATCCTGAACCTGAAGCGGCTGATGATCCTGAACCTGAAGCAGCAGCAGATGATGCTCCTGAGCCAGATGATGAACCAGTTCCTGATGTTGATGCAGTATTACCGGTGGCAGTTGATCCTGATGTAGTAGTACTAGTAGTAGTAGATGATGAGCCAGATGATCCTGAACCAGATGATCCTGAACCAGATGATGAACCAGCTCCTGATGATGAACCAGAACTGTTTCCTGAAGCAGCTGATGATCCTGATGAACCGGAGCCAGTAGCAGTAGATGAACCTGAACCTGATCCTGAACCTGAAGCGGCAGCAGTAGATGATGCTCCTGAGCCAGATGAAGCTGAGCCAGATGATGAACCAGTTCCTGATGTTGATGCAGTATTACCGGTGGCAGTTGATCCTGATGTAGTAGTAGTAGTAGATGATGAGCCAGATGAACCTGAACCTGAACCTGAACTGAACCTGATCCTGAACCTGAAGCGGCTGATGATCCTGAACCTGAAGCAGCAGCAGTAGATGATGCTCCTGGCCAGATGCTCCTGAGCCAGATGAAGCTGAGCCAGATGATGAACCAGTTCCTGATGATGCAGTATTACCGGTGGCAGTTGATCCTGATGTAGTAGTACTAGTAGTAGTAGATGATGAGCCAGATGAACCTGAACCTGAAGCAGCAGCAGCACCTGATGATGATCCTGAACCAGATGATGAACCAGCTCCTGATGATGAACCAGAACTGTTTCCTGAAGCAGCTGATGATCCTGATGAACCAGAGCCAGTAGCAGTAGATGAACCTGAACCTGATCCTGAACCTGAAGCGGCTGATGATCCTGAACCTGAAGCAGCAGCAGTAGATGATGCTCCTGAGCCAGATGCTCCTGAGCCAGATGAAGCTGAGTCAGATGATGAACCAGTTCCTGATGTTGATGCAGTATTACCGGTGGCAGTTGATCCTGATGTAGTAGTACTAGTAGTAGTAGATGATGAGCCAGATGAACCTGAACCTGAAGCAGCAGCAGCACCTGATGATGATCCTGAACCAGATGATGAACCAGCTCCTGATGATGAACCAGAACTGTTTCCTGAAGCAGCTGATGATCCTGATGAACCGGAGCCAGTAGCAGTAGATGAACCTGAACCTGATCCTGAACCTGAAGCGGCTGATGATCCTGAACCTGAAGCAGCAGCAGTAGATGATGCTCCTGAGCCAGATGAAGCTGAGCCAGATGATGAACCAGTTCCTGATGTTGATGCAGTATTACCGGTGGCAGTTGATCCTGATGTAGTAGTAGTAGTAGTAGATGATGAGCCAGATGAACCTGAACCTGAACCTGAAGCAGCAGCACCTGATGATGATCCTGAACCAGATGATGAACCAGCTCCTGATGATGAACCAGAACTGTTTCTGAAGCAGCTGATGATCCTGATGAACCGGAGCCAGTAGCAGATGAACCTGAACCTGATCCTGAACCTGAAGCGGCTGATGATCCTGAACCTGAAGCAGCAGCAGTAGATGATGCTCCTGAGCCAGATGAAGCTGAGCCAGATGATGAACCAGTTCCTGATGTTGATGCAGTATTACCGGTGGCAGTTGATCCTGATGTAGTAGTAGTAGTAGTAGTAGATGATGAGCCAGATGAACCTGAACCTGAACCTGAAGCAGCAGCACCTGATGATGATCCTGAACCAGATGATGAACCAGCTCCTGATGATGAACCAGAACTGTTTCCTGAAGCAGCTGATGATCCTGATGAACCGGAGCCAGTAGCAGTAGATGAACCTGAACCTGATCCTGAACCTGAAGCGGCAGCAGTAGATGATGCTCCTGAGCCAGATGAAGCTGAGCCAGATGATGAACCAGTTCCTGATGTTGATGCAGTATTACCGGTGGCAGTTGATCCTGATGTAGTAGTACTAGTAGTAGTAGATGATGAGCCAGATGAACCTGAACCTGAACCTGAACCTGAACCTGATCCTGAACCTGAAGCGGCTGATGATCCTGAACCTGAAGCAGCAGCAGATGATGCTCCTGAGCCAGATGATGAACCAGCTCCTGATGATGAACCAGAACTGTTTCCTGAAGCGGCTGATGATCCTGATGAACCGGAGCCAGTAGCAGTAGATGAACCTGAACCTGAACCTGAACCTGAAGCGGCTGATGATCCTGAACCTGAAGCAGCAGCAGTAGATGATGCTCCTGAGCCAGATGAAGCTGAGCCAGATGATGAACCAGTTCCTGATGTTGATGCAGTATTGGTGGCAGTTGATCCTGATGTAGTAGTACTAGTAGTAGTAGATGATGAGCCAGATGAACCTGAACCTGAAGCAGCAGCAGCACCTGATGATGATCCTGAACCAGATGATGAACCAGCTCCTGATGATGAACCAGAACTGTTTCCTGAAGCGGCTGATGATCCTGATGAACCGGAGCCAGTAGCAGTAGATGAACCTGAACCTGAACCTGAACCTGAAGCGGCTGATGATCCTGAACCTGAAGCAGCAGCAGATGATGCTCCTGAGCCAGATGATGAACCAGTTCCTGATGTTGATGCAGTATTGGTGGCAGTTGATCCTGATGTAGTAGTAGTAGTAGTAGATGATGAGCCAGATGAACCTGAACCTGAAGCAGCAGCAGCATCTGATGATGATCCTGAACCAGATGATGAACCAGCTCCTGATGATGAACCAGAACTGTTTCTGAAGCAGCTGATGATCCTGATGAACCGGAGCCAGTAGCAGTAGATGAACCTGAACCTGATCCTGAACCTGAAGCGGCTGATGATCCTGAACCCAGCAGCAGCAGTAGATGATGCTCTGAGCCAGATGAAGCTGAGCCAGATGATGAACCAGTTCCTGATGTTGATGCAGTATTACCGGTGGCAGTTGATCCTGATGTAGTAGTACTAGTAGTAGTAGATGATGAGCCAGATGAACCTGAACCTGAACCTGAACCTGAACCTGAACCTGATGATGATCCTGAACCAGATGATGAACCAGCTCCTGATGATGAACCAGAACTGTTTCCTGAAGCAGCTGATGATCCTGATGATCCTGATGAACCGGAGCCAGTAGCAGTAGATGAACCTGAACCTGATCCTGAACCTGAAGCGGCTGATGATCCTGAACCTGAAGCAGCAGCAGTAGATGATGCTCCTGAGCCAGATGAAGCTGAGCCAGATGATGAACCAGTTCCTGATGTTGATGCAGTATTACCGGTGGCAGTTGATCCTGATGTAGTAGTACTAGTAGTAGTAGATGATGAGCCAGATGAACCTGAACCTGAAGCAGCAGCAGCACCTGATGATGATCCTGAACCAGATGATGAACCAGCTCCTGATCCTGATCCTGATGAACCGGAGCCTGAAGCAGTAGATGACCCTGAACCTGATCCTGAAGCGGCTGATGATCCTGAACCTGAAGCAGCAGTAGATGATGCTCCTGAGCCAGATGAAGCTGAGCCAGATGATGAACCAGTTCCTGATGTTGATGCAGTATTACCGGTGGCAGTTGATCCTGATGTAGTAGTACTAGTAGTAGTAGATGATGAGCCAGATGAACCTGAACCTGAAGCAGCAGCAGCATCTGATGATGATCCTGAACCAGATGATGAACCAGCTCCTGATGATGAACCAGAACTGTTTCCTGAAGCAGCTGATGATCCTGATGAACCGGAGCCAGTAGCAGTAGATGAACCTGAACCTGATCCTGAACCTGAAGCGGCTGATGATCCTGAACCTGAAGCAGCAGCAGTAGATGATGCTCCTGAGCCAGATGAAGCTGAGCCAGATGATGAACCAGTTCCTGATGTTGATGCAGTATTACCGGTGGCAGTTGATCCTGATGTAGTAGTACTAGTAGTAGTAGATGATGAGCCAGATGAACCTGAACCTGAACCTGAACCTGAACCTGAACCTGATGATGATCCTGAACCAGATGATGAACCAGCTCCTGACGATGAACCAGAACTGGCACCTGAAGCAGCTGATGATCCTGATGATCCTGATGAACCGGAGCCAGTAGCAGTAGATGAACCTGAACCTGATCCTGAACCTGAAGCGGCTGATGATCCTGAACCTGAAGCAGCAGTAGATGATGCTCCTGAGCCAGATGAAGCTGAGCCAGATGATGAACCAGTTCCTGATGATGCAGTATTACCGGTGGCAGTTGATCCTGATGTAGTAGTACTAGTAGTAGTAGATGATGAGCCAGATGAACCTGAACCTGAAGCAGCAGCAGCACCTGATGATGATCCTGAACCAGATGATGAACCAGCTCCTGATGATGAACCAGAACTGTTTCCTGAAGCAGCTGATGATCCTGATGAACCGGAGCCAGTAGCAGTAGATGAACCTGAACCTGATCCTGAACCTGAAGCGGCTGATGATCCTGAACCTGAAGCAGCAGCAGTAGATGATGCTCCTGAGCCAGATGAAGCTGAGCCAGATGATGAACCAGTTCCTGATGTTGATGCAGTATTACCGGTGGCAGTTGATCCTGATGTAGTAGTACTAGTAGTAGATGATGAGCCAGATGAACCTGAACCTGAAGCAGCAGCAGCACCTGATGATGATCCTGAACCAGATGATGAACCAGCTCCTGATGATGAACCAGAACTGTTTCCTGAAGCAGCTGATGATCCTGATGAACCGGAGCCAGTAGCAGTAGATGAACCTGAACCTGATCCTGAACCTGAAGCGGCTGATGATCCTGAACCTGAAGCAGCAGCAGTAGATGATGCTCCTGAGCCAGATGAAGCTGAGCCAGATGATGAACCAGTTCCTGATGTTGATGCAGTATTACCGGTGGCAGTTGATCCTGATGTAGTAGTACTAGTAGTAGTAGATGATGAGCCAGATGAACCTGAACCTGAACCTGAACCTGAACCTGATCCTGAACCTGAAGCGGCTGATGATCCTGAACCTGAAGCAGCAGCAGTAGATGATGCTCCTGAGCCAGATGAAGCTGAGCCAGATGATGAACCAGTTCCTGATGTTGATGCAGTATTACGGTGGCAGTTGATCCTGATGTAGTAGTACTGTAGTAGTAGATGATGAGCCAGATGAACCTGAACCTGAACCTGAACATGAACCTGATCCTGAACCTGGCGGCTGATGATCCTGAACCTGAAGCAGCAGCAGTAGATGCTCTGAGCCAGATGAAGCTGAGCCAGATGATGAACCAGTTCCTGATGTTGATGCAGTATTACCGGTGGCAGTTGATCCTGATGTAGTAGTACTAGTAGTAGTAGATGATGAGCCAGATGAACCTGAACCTGAAGCAGCAGAAGCACCTGATGATGATCCTGAACCAGATGATGAACCAGCTCTGATGATGAACCAGAACTGTTTCCTGAAGCAGCTGATGATCCTGATGAACCGGAGCCAGTAGCAGTAGATGAACCTGAACCTGATCCTGAACCTGAAGCGGCTGATGATCCTGAACCTGAAGCAGCAGCAGTAGATGATGCTCCTGAGCCAGATGCTCCTGAGCCAGATGAAGCTGAGCCAGATGATGAACCAGTTCCTGATGTTGATGCAGTATTACCGGTGGCAGTTGATCCTGATGTAGTAGTACTAGTAGTAGTAGATGATGAGCCAGATGAACCTGAACCTGAACCTGAACCTGAACCTGATGATGATCCTGAACCAGATGATGAACCAGCTCCTGACGATGAACCAGAACTGGCACCTGAAGCAGCTGATGATCCTGATGATTCTGATGAACCGGAGCCAGTAGCAGTAGATGAACCTAAACCTGATCCTGAACCTGAAGCGGCTGATGATCCTGAACCTGAAGCAGCAGCAGTAGATGATGCTCCTGAGCCAGATGAAGCTGAGCCAGATGATGAACCAGTTCCTAATGTTGATGCAGTATTACCGGTGGCAGTTGATCCTGATGTAGTAGTACTAGTAGTAGTAGATGATGAGCCAGATGAACCTGAACCTGAACCTGAACCTGAACCTGATGATGATCCTGAACCAGATGATGAACCAGCTCCTGACGATGAACCAGAACTGGCACCTGAAGCAGCTGATGATCCTGATGATCCTGATGAACCGGAGCCAGTAGCAGTAGATGAACCTGAACTTGATCCTGATCCTGAAGCGGCAGCATTTGATGATGATCCTGATGAACTGGAGTCATACGAACCGCTGTCATCATCATCAGAGTAATCAGAATCGTTTGGTATAATTTGATCCGCATTTTCATTTGAGGCGTTGCTTTCAGAGTCACTGTTTGTGTTTGATCCAGCGTACTTCTCCTCTGTAGTTTGCTCAGAATTGGTATTCGATTCTGACTTGGTAAAGCTTTCTGTCTTAGCTTTCGAAATTGATTCGGATGATGGAGTTGGTTGTTTAACAGTATTAGCTGCGGAGTTAGATGTTGAATGACTTTTAGACCCAGGAAGACCCATTTTTATCGCCATTGTTGGCATCGTTGGCCAAGCGTCGGCATATTGTGTTGCAGTTAAAGCAACCGCAGTTAAACTGAGAAAAATAAAAAGTTTAACCATTTTGGCTTTCGACTAACAATTTAGTTGAATCACTTTGTAGATGGAATATGATGAGATGACTGATGAAATTTCTCTGAAACTTTGCAGTTTTATACTGTTATCTGTTTCATCTGATTAAACAGAAGGCGAATAAAATACTCATCTAAAATTCACAACATTGTGCAAAGTTCATTTTTAGATCACTCATGTTTGCATTAGCATGTCGCGAGTTTAATCTATTTATTGATGAATATTTTTCCAGCCACCAATATTCACAAGAATAAAGGTAAAATTATGGTACTTTTGTCACGATTGAGTCAATTACAAACCTGTATAACCTTTTAGGGTGATTTTTTTTCAAATTTCTGTGCAAATGTTGGTAGTCATATTCAGCAAATGAGTTAACGTTAGTTTCTTTGGAGATTGGTTAATTTTCATCATGAATTTAAATTGAACTTCTTTTTTGTATTTACTTATAGGTATTTTCAAAGTTCAAGTTGATCAGCAGATTTTTATTAGTTTTGTTATCGTAGGATTGACAATTACCTTGAATGTTTCATGTCTGAACAAATTTCAGTTGTAAAAAATTCTAACCACTACATGTTTTGCCGATTGTTAATTGTTAATTTCATGTAGGTTTAGCGATCGCAATTTAGCATGTAGTCTAAAATGGAATGGCGAATTGTGACGTAGTTATATGATGACCATAGCAAGAAAAAACGAAGAAGCATTTTTTAATCAAGAAAGTAATAGAAAGCAATTCACCAGACTGTTGCTAACTTGATTTTCAGTTGAGCTTGGACAAAAGTAACAGGCTCAAATGACCTAGTGTCATCTTGTTGACTACCATTTTTTATCTGAAAAATGAAAAGATGTTTTGCCTCACCCCCACGATGACCGTTACTTGTGTGACACAATTTTGTCACTTACGATTGAGAAACAGATTAGTGAAATTGATCAAAAGTTATTGCTTTAGCTCAGTTGATTAAATCATCATGGATTAATTTAAAATTGGATTCAGTGGATACACAATTTATCCTCATAACAAATCGATAATCGAGCGTTTAATCACATCGCACAAACAATTATTACAACTCACGATTTTTTACATTAAGATTGAAGAAAAAATATTAACTGAAAGAACTCAAAAATCTACATCCGCAAAAATACCAATGTCCCAACCTGAACCAATAACCAATGTCATGTGGCCAGGGTCATATGATAATCTAAAGAAAATTGAATTTTCATCATTTTATTATCTGTAAATCTACATAATACCTAGTAAGTTTTTATTTTCACTGGCCTCTTCTAAACGACGTAAAATTAAAAGATTTAATGAACGAAAGGGTAAAGATTAAGAAAAAATGGTAGTCGACCTCTGGCTCTCTTCTAATCATTGATATCAGGTTATAGTCAATTAAGCAAAAAGACGTTGAAATTACATTTGCACTGTAATCAATTGTATCGGTAACTTTTTCTAACACATTATTGTTACCAGATCCACCAACAATCAACAATGTGGTCAGATTAATTTTTGGTTGGTTATTGGTTGAACAGTTGATGTAGTTGTTGATGATGGTTTAATGTCCATTGTATTTAATTTCAATTATCAATAGCTATCGAACCACATTTAATCTCAGGTAAGATACTACCTACATACTTTAATTATTAACAGAAGTCAACAACTTTTGAGAGGTACTAAAGTAAATAGATTAATTAGTTTTAAATGGTGACGTGTTTTTTAAAATTTGAAGTATATAAAAGCTTTTGATTGTTTCTGTTTAAATATAGTTGTTAATTTGATTGTTCGTACACATCATCATCATGGAGATTTCTGTCGAAGGTAAAAAAGTGCTGGTAACCGGAGCTTCCAGAGGAATCGGTCGAGCGGTAACAGAGACTTTGGTCAAACCGTGAGTATCTAAAGTCTATGCTGTTTGTATTCTGAAAGACGAATTGGATAAACTAGCAAGTGAAGTTAACAATGTCCATCCAATTCGTCTCGATTTAAGTGATTGGTCATCTACCGAAGAGACTTTGAGTAAACTCGAGCCCGTTGATTGTTTAGTTAATAATGCTGGTGTCCTTTGGCCAACAGAACCTGGATCGATAAAGGAATCGGATTATGACAAAATATTTGATGTCAATGTGAAAGCTTTGATTAATGTAACTCAAATCATTTCGACAAAAATGATCGACGCTGGAGTAAAAAGTTCAATCGTTAATTTGTCCAGTATAACGGCAAAAAAATCGTATCCAATATATGCAATTTATTGTATATCGAAAGCAACGTTTGATTGTAACCTTACCTAACTCATAGTTTTGCTAATTTGGTAATTTTTCCCAATACTTTTGCTCTAAGCTTTACAAGATCTTATATAACATATCGAGAAAACTTCAATAGTTGATTTTACTTCCGAGTCATGAAATAACTACGCATTACTTAATTAATTATTATATTAATTAATTGCTATTTGAATCAAAATGATGAATTGAACAGATTTAAAGCCTCATATTAATCAAAAATTCAATGCATTAATTAATAACAAGCTAGTTAATTGTTTACATTGTAAAAACGACGAACAATTAAAAGATTAATTGAACGAAAGCGTAAAAATTAAGAAAAAATGGTAGTTAGAGAGAATGCTATAAGAAAAGAAATCTTCCAATTTCTTTCAAATCTTTCATCGTTTTTATTTCAGCCTCTGTCATTGGGTTGTGATTTATGCACCATGGTAAATGTCCTACCGTGATCTTGGTCTTGATAAGAAAAAAAAATTCGAGGTTCTCTTTTTTTTACTTACTTTTCCAATCAGTAAACAATATTGAGTTTAAACTGAGTTACCTTGATTGAAGGCTACCTCGATTGAACGATATTAGCATTTGAACATTCAAAGAAGAGAAAGAAAGAGAAATTCTACCAAAATAATCATACCCTCGAGACATTTCTCTCTCTCTCTCTTCAATAGTTTTGTGGTCAATTTGTTTATCGCGACACGTTCAATGCTCATAATAAATTATCAGAGAAGTGAAAGTGATTAATAATACAAAAAGAATTTCAATATTTATTTATTAATAGTTAACGGAAGAATCAAAATCTATAAGTTAAACTTTTTTTCTCCAAACAATTAAAATCAAATTAAGCGGATACAGTTAATCAGCTAATTTGTATTGAATATTAAAAGCATATTAATCATAATCTAGAGTCATTTTCAATGTGACTATCTATGGGTCAGTAATGGTAAAATTATGAAAATATCTGATATACATTTTCATTGAATGAAAACTTCCGGTAAAACAATTAGCTGATTGGTGAAAGTGAGGGTGAAACAAAGTTAAATAATTAGAATGACGGTTAAGTGATTAATTAATTGCGATGTGCTTTATGTTTACATTGGGCTGAAAATTGTCATCACTTGTACATGAAAAGATTATGAATGAGAAAACATGAGGAAAATAAGGAAGTTCAATAAAAACAAATGTCAGAAAATTATTTTATCATAATAATATTTTTGGGTTCACATTAGATGTACATATAAATCTGAAAGAACCAGATTCTTGCTTAAGAATTAAGATTGATTCTGTTTAATGGATCATGAACACGATGTTTGATCTTAATTGTTGTTACATTATTCTGATAATATAATAATATTATTATCTCTCATCATCTTCATTGTGATGGTAAAAGTCTTAAGGATAAAACCACAAGCAAAGACCAAAAGAAGACAAATGCAAACAAAGTATAAATCATCATTTAGAGAGAGAGAGAGAGAGAGAAATAGCCACGTAAAGTAATCGTATGTCCACAAAAACGACCTGGTCTGTGACATACGATCCTATGGGAACCAGAAACGCATTAAGTGCAACCATCAATCAAACACTGCATACAAAAGTTAACCATATACTTAATCTTAGCGACCATATTGATCGCCGAAACCCTTGTTCTAATTAAACTTCATCACTTTCTCTCTTATTCAAAATTTCTATTGGGCTATATTGTTCTATTCTTTGTAACAAGCAGATTCGGTCTATCCAAACAACTAAAGATGAACGTGGATTGATGGAATTGTGGATAATCTCGGAATATAATGAAAACATCAATCGAAAATAATTACAATCATTTTATTTGTTTCATGATTTTTGCTCTTGTCCAAAGTATTTGAATTACTTTTTGGGTGCTTATTAGAGTTTGGTATGGGTTAATAATTGACTAGAAAATGATACAAAAAGTAATCTCCAACCACTTTGATTCATTTTACTCAGCATTCTTTTCGTATTTGCTGTTTCATTGCTTGGAAATAGTTTAGTTTGGAGATTCAAATTATTGCCACTGCCATGTTAAAGGCTAAAACTAATAAATTTTCAACCATATCGATGAGATAGAGATAGAGATTCAAGAAGTTTCCTTCATTTATCCATCATCAAATTTGCTTCAAGCTTATAATTACATTTATCTACTACAGTAGTATATGGATATTTAAAGTCAGTCAGTTAAAAGATATCTTATTGACATTGGTAAAAAAGTATCACTTGTCTACTACTAATGGTTTCTTGAGACGGAGAGATGGTGATGGACCTTTTTGGTTAATTGAATCTGGACCTTTTGCCTTATGACCGGAATTACTTTTGTTCGATATCGAAGGACCTTTTCGATTAGATGGATCTTGGCCTAATTTATTCCTGGAATCTGCTCCACGCCAAGGGATATATGATTTACTATAAATAAAATATTGAATTTTGGCATTATTCATTTTATCAGATTGCAAGATTTGGTGAAATACTCACATCAAGTTATAAATGTTCGTGCCTTTATGATTCGATGCGTCAACTCCTTTGGCTAACGGTACCTTCTTCTTCTCGATAATTATTCCATCTTCGGCTGTACAAGTCATCACATTAAGTCTAATTTTGGATATGAAAGAGAAAAAATCATCTTATTAGTCAAAATTAATCAGTTTAAACACTCAAACGGCTAGTACTGTTAAGATCAAAAAATGGCCTGGAAATTGATTGAAATCAAAATTGAAAAATAAATGGAAAAAATAAAATAATGATAATCACAAAAGTTAAGACAAAAATTTGATGATTATTGTTACGTTTTGATTGGATCAGTTTTCCTTTTGGTTATTGGTGTTCCAAATGTCGATTCAATTAGACCACCAGTTTGGGTCGATTTAGTTTGAAGGGTCATTTCATCAGATTGACCAGTTGACCAATCTTTTGGCAAATATTTATCGGAATCTTGTGGTGTCATTGAATTTAGGAATAGACGAGATCGCTCCTCATTGAAAGCTGAACTTTCCAATGCCATGTTTATTAGGAATCGGTCAACATTTGGAAAATCGGCTTGGAGCTTTTCAAAGACTTGAAGAAAGAAAAATAAATCAATTAAAATTCTGAAAACAATTAAAAAAATTTATCAATTTACTTTGCTGTTTCTCGAATATATTTGGTGGGAAAGCGGGTTGTTTAGGTTCACGAGTGGTCAGTGTCTTCGGACGAGATCGATCAGCGTTTATATTTTTTGGCCTTGGGGGAAGTGGGTTTTTCTTATAGCCCATTTTCTCAATTTTTTCCATTACATCTGTCACATTATGATCACAATTGTAAAGAAGATCAAACAAAACGATCTCGTCAACTTCCGGATAAAGAATCTTAATATAGCGCAATTTCATCTTAGGTGAACCCGATGATTGATATCGACCAACATGTGGAGCTAAGTGTGAGATTATTCCAGAAATAACATCATGTTCACTATTATTGTACCTGAAAGACGAGAACAATTAGTTGACCTTGAAAACCAATTAATAGCAATGTTAATTTACTTACTTGCAAAGTAATTGCTTAATTACATTCTGATCAACTGCTGGAAATTTGCCTTTCAATTTATAATAAAGAGCTTCATCAGGTTGAGCTTGATATGTTTTCGCATAATTTTCAGTTCTTAGAATATTACTGACCACATATTCACGATTAGCATTCCTAAATTGTTAGTAATTAGCACATTAATTAATTGTTCATCATAATGATTTTTCAACTCACTTTCTTAACAATTGAGCGATGTAATTTTCATCAACATCAGGAAACAATTTAGCAATTCTTTGGACAGTTGCATCATTTGCTTTATAACGAGCTGAGAAAGGCTGATTGTTGAATAAAAAGTGTCAGTAATTAGTAATTAAATCAATGATCAATTAATTAATCAAATCGCAAAAGTGCCAATTACCTGATAGTAACTCCTAATGGTGTAAGTATGTGATGGTGATGATGATCTTGATGATTGACATGATCCTTGTTGTCCCTTTGATTGAAATGTAATCAGTTAGATTGACAGTTATTATCATTAACAATTTGTAAATCACTTACCCCTCTCCAAGAGTCCCAAGTAGCAGAACCATAATCATTGAAAAAATAACTAATAGTTGATGGAAAGAAACAAAATCAAATCAATTTTAGAAAATTTATCCACAGTTAATTGTCAACAATTAGACTCACTATTTATTGGTCTTTGGATCATATTTACATTGCCATCCAATTGGTAAAACATGATCATGAACTGAGATCGCATAAGATGGTGGGAGTGAGGATTGTGATGAACATGAAGGAGTTGATGGTATGGGACGTACAGTGGCCATGGAGGTTAATTTTGATTGGAATTTGTTTATTCAATTAATCACAGCAAAAATCAGGCCATTTGATTGTAATTAACTGGTAATTGTTGATGAAAGAGATTGCACAAGTATAAAAAGTAACAGAAAAAAACAAGGATTGAAATGATTACATTACAATGGTTTAGAAATTGGACTGACAGAATTGAGAGAAAAAAATATTATCATGAAATGAATTTACTTCTATCATGTTCATCTTAGGAACCAGAGAAGGTTCACGCTTGCCTCGAATAGAGGAAAATATTCTTATTGATTTTTCTCTCTTTAAATATCGATCTGTTTTCATCGAGTTCTAAGACCGAAAACTCATCCAGAAAAACAAAACTTATGCACCGACTCACATTCATTCCCATGTGGATCTAATATCCATTTTATCAAATGATCGAAGGATAAAATTTTCTGTAATTATTGTAATCTAACTGAGACTCTCTCTCTCTCTCTCTCTCTCTCTCTTCTGTTTCATATTCTGATCATTTCATTATCATCTTAATTATGATCGCATCTTTATTTTGATAATTTTGAAATTTCAATCCAGTTCATGTTGCCATGAACTATTGCTAAATTGCAATCATCAAAATTACTATTCTAATTTGTATTTCTATTCAGTTGATGTTTTTTTTTGCTTTGCTCTGAAACGAAACCAATTTTTTCACAATTATCGCTCTTCCTTTTTAACTCATCGTGTGAAAACGGCGAAACTTGAATGAAAATGTTGACAAACTATTTGTGTGTTTAAATAGATTTGCGAGTTTATAAAATTGATACTTTCTATTTTTGATTAATGTCAATTTAACAAAAAAGAAACAGTAAAAAAACTGCACATTAAATAGTCGAAGGCATCATCAGTAAGGCAAGAGATTTGGATCATTGAATAACAAAATATAAATCAAATATTAGATAAAATTCAACGAAATCATCAATGTCAATGTCAATCTCAATTTCTTTTCCTGGATCATTGCAACTAATTTCTTGGTGTCTATTTGCTTCATGATTATCTCTTCAGTCTTGAAATTTAGTTTTATTGGTTCGCTTGTTCAACAAGTTTTCCTCATTTGGCTGATTAACTTTTTTAATCGATGAAATTGTAGTTAGAGATGAAGAATCGGACGATTTTGTCAATGTATTCGTGATCCGGGAATGGTATTTTTGAGCAAGCGAATTAATTATCGATAAAATGAAATAAATAATCATCGCCACAACTAATTTCTCAAATAAAGATGCGATCCAATGAGGTTTGGTGACAACTTTACTGTGAAGTCTCTCCTTTTGATTGATTAAAAAATCTCTGAATGGTTTATGAAGATAATCTCCTAATATTGGTAAATCTTTGATTTTATCAATAAAATGTTCCAATAGATTTTCATCAAATGCAATGATCACAAATAGTTTCTGTAGATGCATTTTAATCACCGCTTTACCGATTAGTGTTGCCCCAAAGAAGGTCCAAAAGGGAACCAAAAAGTGTCCACATGTTATACCCGCTAAATCGTAGACGGGATTGGGAAAAGAGGCACAAAATAATATTCCAAAGAAACCAACTTTCTCCACTAGAAATTGTACCCATGAAGAGGCTTTTTCAAATGTATCGGAAATCTCGTTCATTATCTTTGAAAGTAGATTCATCTTTTTATTATTAGTCTTTGTTTTCGCTGGAACATTTTTGTCCTTCTTTGATTCTTTAATCATCTCCTCTCCAGATAAACGTTTAACTTTGGCCATAAAATAAGGCGGCAGTTCACCTAATGCTGTACCTGCTCCCCACATGAATGCTTCCAATCGGACCTTTGACATGATATCCCAAAGAGTTACCGGCCTTGTATCGGGAATATCTGGACAGACAATTTCATCTGGATAGGGAGGCTCAGGGAATCTTAAACTACCACATTCATAGGCAGCAAGGGTTACCTTTGCAATATGAGGTCCAAGGTAGAGTATAAAAGTATGAAGACCGGTACCCAAACCGACAGATGATAAAATACCCAAACCAAGCCAATAAAGTGACCATAATACTTGTGTTTTAAATGAATTAATCAAAGGTGATTCTATTTGATTTGAATAGAAGATCAACAATGTAACAGAGATTAAGAAAATTATTGCAGAGAGAAAATGTCCCCTCAACCAAATGATTCCTTGGATTGTAAGGAGAAAAGTTTCACGAAGAAAATAATCCAATGTAGTAAATGGCTTCTTCCATATGACAATATCGTTCCTTTTGATATCACACATCGTCATCACTATGATTATACAATGTAACAATTTAAACGACGATCAAATCACTAGAATAAAAAGAATAGAAAAAAAATGAACCAGAATGAAAAACAAATCAGTACATAAGAACATGGAAACTTGTTCTATTCACATTTAAAGAGATCACACCAAAGAAAGAAAGGAAATTACAGGAAAACATGCAATGAAAGAGTGATGAGTCAATGGTAACGTATTGAAATTCTCATCAACTGATTTTATAATTGTCTCTAATGAAGCAAAGAAAAAAAAGAAGATGAGTGAAAGGTATTCTTATTGGAGAAAGCAAAACAATAAGAACAAGCTGATTTTCAGCCTGCCAACATCATGGAGACAAAATGAATTCATGGTGAGACAAACAGCTCAGTAATCAACAGGAACAAGCATGAAAATGAAAGATGATGAGAATGATGATAGTAAAGAGAGATAATTAAGAAGGAACAAGAAGAGAAGAAAAAAAATAGAATAGAAAGAAAAAAAAGAACATAAAACAAACACATCGATGCCAATAACCTACCGGTTGACAGTTTTTCTTGGTTTTGGTTATCCAACCAGTAAGTTTATTCTTAACTCATTTACAGAATTAATTGATAGAGAAGAGAGACAATCACAGGTTAATCATAATTTGTCAATTTTTTAGTTTCAAATTAACTAAAATCAAATAATTAAAATTCTCACAAAATGTAAAAGTGTTACAATTGAACAACAATGTTGAAAATGAAAAGATATTCAAATTTTTACTCAATAGAATTTTGGATTCCGCCACTACCGCCATCTATTGGCGAGCGTACAAACAGTCTTTAGGTTGAATTCAAATTAAAAATTGAAGAAAAAGAAATCAAATGGTAATTATTAATAGATTAAAACAATTAGCCAATTTAATTGGAAGATTTTTACTATTGATTGATCATTAATACATCTTTTCTTTTGATATTCAACTTTGAACTTATTGGAAAAGATGAAGAAGCAAACAGAGATTCAGAAAGTGTGAGTATTTCAAATGTTACAATTTAATTGGAGATTAATTGATTATCAATAACCTTTGATTGTTGGGATTAAATCATCAGTGAAATTAAATTTTACATCAAATTACCTTGTATTTAAATTGCCAAGAGATGATAAGTTATCTAGGTTAATATCTAGTTACTAAAATTAAATTTTTCTCGAGGTTAATTATCAACAGTTTCAAGTTGATTCCAAAAATTATCAACTAATTTTCACTTATAAATGACAATTAATTACGACAAAGACATTGATAAAAATTGATTACCGTTAGATATTGAATAATAATGATCTCTAATTGGCATTGAATCTTGATTAAATCGTATTTACAAGTGACATTTATAATAATCAAATGACGACGATTTCAATTTATTTACATCATTGATTAAACTAATCTCAATATTGATAACAATTTAAACATATCAACTAATTATGACACCAATATGATTGATTAACTGGTGAGACAAAAAATTGACTTTGAAAGTTGATTAAGGTTAATTAGCATTCATTTTGATAGTGACCTAGTTTCTAATTATAACAGATTGACTATGTTTTAATTATAAACAATCTAATGAAACAATTGTTGTGGAAAAAGAATTGTGATCATCAAATTTTTAATTATAGTTCAACAATCAAGTGAATACAATTTGCGAAGATGAATATTGAAAAAACTTATTTGTTTTCGTTTGGAAATGAATATTTATCGAAATTGGAAACGATTCTATCGATTGGTGAATTTCGTGATGAATAAATTACTTTGAATGATTCGATGATATTTTAACTCTGAGAGAATGACTTCTATTTGGCCTCCGCTTATGAGTGAGAATCGATGTATTACTGATCTTTGGTGGTTCGTAGGAAATTGGTTGAAGATCGATTGGACTTGCGATTCCATTGAAAGGTTTTCTCAATGATTGGTAATACGATAGTTTGGAGATATTTTCTGGTTTTCGTTTGGATTTCAATCGATTCGGTTGTTGAGAGCACCTTGAACAATGAAGGAATGAGTTGACCCTGTAAACTATGAATCGAGTTATTTTCGGTATATGAACAAGAATCGAGAAGCCAAACCAAGTACCAAGACATGAGCCGATTTGAACAATAACATAGAGCCAAGTTTGCATGGGCTCGTAAATGATAACAATCGCTGGTTCTTTAATCTCATCCATAACTAAAGTGCTGAAATTACCATAAATTGTAACTGGAGCACGACCTTGGATAAAATAAGTTTGATGAATACAATCAGGTTGAGAATTGGCTCTAATACAATCATCAACAATTGAATTAATCAACCGCCTGAAAGTAATATTACCAGAGTTACGATCATAACATTCAGTGGCAAAAGGTAAATTCAAATTACTTGACTGTAGTGAAAGTGGATGTGGACATCCCGTTGATGCGATTGACTTTTGAGTCAAACAGCTATCGATTACTGCGTCTCTCGAGGTATAATTAGACTGTAATCTTGAGTAATCTCGGCATGATGTTTCATATGGCGGTGGAAGAAGACGAAGTTCAACCGTTTTCAAGTGATATCGAAAAGCCCTCGGATAATCTGTCATCGTTTGAACATCCATTTTACTTGAAGGACTAACAGGTAAGTTTTTGGGTTCACTTGCACCAATGAAAAGATAATCAACCGAACGGAAGTACGATTGTCTAAGTCTAAGAAGCCAAAGTTCCACGTCAACTGGTTGCTTATAATAATCGTGAGTCGATGCAACGATTGGATGATCTTTGGAACAAACGAACACAAAGCACAACATATACCGACGATAGAATAATTTTAACTCACACAGATCATTAATATTTTGATTTAGTTGAGTTCGAATGTCCAAAGTACCGAAAATCTGATCCATTGGTAGTAAACATTCAGTGACCTGTGAGATGGTCAAATATCTGGCTATTAACTGAGAAACATTTTCAGTAGTAAATCGAGTTAACAATTGATCTTTAATTGTTTTCCTTGGATTATTAAAGGGATTCCTTGGTAGACCAAGAATACTGATCAGTTTTGGATACTTTTGAAAGAGAAGAGTGAAATTAATAAATGTAAGAAAATCTGAACAAAAGAAAACGTCAGGTAGAGTTGTTTCCTCTGGTACAGAGAAAATAACGAAAGTTAAATGCTCGTAATCAAAGAAACGTATTAAAACGTAAGTTAATTGTGTTACAAAGCCAATCACACAGAGACCTTTGAAAAAGTAATCAAGTAAATCAGCTAATCTTTCAAGAGAATCACTTTGAGAGCTGTTAATCATTTCACTTGTAAAGATATCAACTGATTGATTGAAATGTTTAGTTTTGATTTAATGTAACCAAAATTTGGTCCATTAATACATATCCATGGAAATCACAAAATGAGCTTAATTACATGTTAGTTTTATAAAGAAATGAAACAAAACAATTGATTAGATCGTTTCAATTATATGAACAAGTTGATTACATTGTAACAGAATACGGTCATTTGAATAACATGTACAAAACAATCAGCTAAAAGTAACAACAATTAAATCAATAGGATTCACAAAAGAAGCTCATAAACGACCACAATTTGAGTAAATTACCGATGAACGGGATTAAACTAATCTCAATTTTGGTTATAATTTAGCTGATTAACTAGTGAGACCAAAAAATTGACTTTGAATTGACTCTGGTTATAGTTAATTAACATTCACTTTGATAGTGACCTAGTTTCTAATAATAATAACAACAAACTAACCGAATTTGATTTACATAAAACAATTAATACCTACAATGATCACAACCGAAGGCCAAACTTACCTGAATCAAAAAATAAGTAATAATAACTGACCACTAATGGATAAACATTTGTTGTGAATCTCTTGCGATGAATAACAATTAGATTAAACAGTTAAGACATTAAATCAATTATTCTAACAGTGGACAATTTATTCGCGATAATCATTCATGAATATAAAATTCCAAATAAATCTTAAAACTGTCCAACATTCAGCTAGTCATGTAATTTAGATAAAAAAATGCTATAAAATAATATCCAAGATGTCCAAGGCTTTCAGGTTAGTCTAATGTCCGGTTTCATGGTCAGTTGCAGTTACTGATATTTATTATATTTGTGGGTTTGGAAGGCAAAAATTACAATTAATATTATATTTATATTCATGTAAATGATAAACTTGAAAGGTCATGGGCTCAAATAGTGATTTATATAAGAAATATTTTACTCAGGTAATAATTACAATTGTAACCATAATAATAACAATAACTTATTGTCCCAGGTAACAAATAAAAGTTGACGTTTCCATGGTGATTCTTATTGTTATTGTTTATCGAGTTGTTGATAAATAAAATTTGTTTGAAAATAAAAATGAATAAAAAACGTTTTTTTTTTACAACTTTCGAGCTTGAGATTCCAAGAATTGAAGGTATTTCGATTAATGATTAGTTGATGGTGAGATTAAGTTGAATGACCAATCAATATGATGACCATTGGATCAACTGATTGTCATTTCGATTTTCATATTGTGGTTGAATTGATTTGATCAAGTTCATCTAATAAGAGCGGGAGTTTGTTGTTACCACAAGCGGACAATTGACAGATGATGATGATGATAAAACAGAGGGAAAGTGGGTAAGAGGAAAAGGAAGACAATGATGATGATGATGATAACGGATGACAATCGGTGGAGAAAATGAAAGAGAGAAAGTTTCCCTTTCTTTTTTTCTAATCATCACGGTTAATCAATTCTCAGGTAACAACGCATGTCTATGGATTATTATTATTATCACTATTAGTTAATTGTCTTTGGATAATCATTTACAGTTACTCGATAAGCGTATGTCCGACAATCAACATCTCAGCGACCAATCTGGTGTCACCGTTAGATAATATTTTCTGTCCACCAGTGGAAAGTTTTCCACCCGCCGGGGTCACTTTTGTTTCTTTCCACCGGCGAAAACAAGTTAATCTTATTTTCTTCATCTTAATCATGTTCAGAATTGTAACTGTTACAATTTCTCGTTATCGGTGTTTAATTTAATTCAGTTTTAAATATCATAATTTGTGTTTACTTTGATTATATCCAATTGATTTAAAGTGATGAAGTTTAATCATTTTCATCTTAATTGTGCTTCTTTCTTGGTGACATTTACTACTAACAATTTAGTGTTTTCATTGTGCTTAATTAAACGTATCAACTTAATTAAATTAGACCAACTTGTTAATTGTTGTATAACTTAATACAATTTACTATTGCTAATTATTAGCTTTCATCTTTAATTAACCAGGAAAACAATTTAACTCCTTATATTATGGGTGAGTGATTAATTTTCATGTTGAGCAATTTTAAATTGCGATAATTAATCATACTCAAGATGCTTAATTATTTAAAGCTAAATTTGGTTTATCTAGTTGATTTAATTATATCTGATTCCCACATTTAATCCAGTTTAATGTTTACAATTAGCACAATTTAATCTCATTTACAATTTGTGTCAACGGTAACAATTAACATTCCCCCAACTGATTAGCTGATTTTTGAATGTGTTAATATGATTAAGATTATGATACATTTGATTTTAACACTTTTTTCATCTTTGTAACAATTTGAATTGTTAATCAATGTAATCCAAATCAACTCTTTCGTTACAATTAAATTGTCAACACAATCATTGTATTATTATAGTTAATTAATCACAATCAAGTAGCTATTTTATCATGTGATGATTGTTAACTGTTGATTTATCATATTAATCAAATAACATTTCAACAATTTCCAACAATCAGCCTTAATTGTGATTCAACCCACGGTTTAATTGATTGCGTGAAGATAATTACAACAATTAAGACCAAGAAATTCATCTAATTGTAGAAATTACAATCAAATACTAATAATAATTACTCAATCAATTCCCAAAGGATCTCGACCACAAATTTAATCACACAATCAAATTAACCCAGTTAATTGTTTCATCTAATCTAATTGAATATATTATAACCCACAAGACTGAAACAATTTGTCTTTAATCAACATGATAATCTTATTCAATTAACCAGAATTAATCACTTAACTTTAATTATTATCATGGTAATAAAGTCTTAAATTATTGTTGATTAATAAACACGCAATTTACCAATGATAATAATCCTATTTGGTTAACTTTAATCAATAACAATCAGAAAACAATAGGAAACAAATCAATCAATTGAAATATAATTTAATTGTTACTTGATTGTTGAACTGAAAAGTATCATATTAATATCATCAATTAATATTCAGATGAAAGGCTAACAACAATTAGATTTTGATAACAATTAACAGTAATCAGAAAAAAATGTAAAAGCTTCAAATGAAACATGATCAAGAATTACATCAATTAACTAATTACTAGTTAATTTTAGGCACAAGAAAACTAATTGTAACACTCAAGTTAATTATCTAATTATTAATGACCTGATAAAAAGGGTAAAATAAGGTTAACAATTTAATAGTAATGGTAAATTGACAATTTAGATTTTCTTAGATTAAAGTTAATCATCATTCAGATTTAAATGATTACCTTGAAAACAAAAAGACAAACAATCAAATCAATTATTCATAATATTCTGGCCTTGGTGATGAATGTTATTATTACCATTACAATTATTGATTATCGTTAATTTTTCATAACAATGATTAACAATCAATGGTAATATAATGTAATATACCTTGTGGTCAGTTTCATTATTACACATGAATTTGACCAATGGGTTAATTGGTTGATAAGATATTCAGGTTAAGGACATTGATTGTTTCTAAATCAACTATATAATTAGTTAATTGTGGCACATTCAATGTAATCTCATGATAAATTGAAACTAATCAACATGAAAGAGGTGGTAGATTTAACCAAGAGTTACCAATCAAATTATGGTTCCAGTCTGATTACTTTTAATCAAAACTAAATTAATTTTTAGTGTATCAATTTAATTAGAAAGTTAAACTAATTATTTTTTTCTCTTAAATTTTCCAAGTGATTAATTAGATTAAAATCAAATCAAATGTTTATCTGATTGGAAATATATAAGTTTACCTTAATATTAGTTGAAATTTTCTTTCAAATTTCGAGCTGATATTATATAATATTAACTTGATAAGTTCTGATTAATTTTTGAATAGCAAATTTTATCATTATAATAATATTTAAATGAATTCGGTCAAGAGCATAAAATTTGTTGTTATTTTGTTTTATTATCTTTTTTTCTGTTAATCACCACAGTTGATTAATTAATTAGGTCATTGTGAAATTAACTGACCCATGTTACTATTTAATGACTCTGATTAATATTAATATTTCCATGAGAAAATTATGCAAAGAATTTAGGTTAAGTTCGATAAATAATCATGGTGATTAGAGAGTTATTACAATTTTTTCTTAATTTGTTCAGTTTGATTAATTAGAGGAGGATAATTTACCTTTAATTGGATTACCTGAGAATAGCTTGATTTCCCTATTCTCACATAATCTTCTGTAAGAATAGTATTGACAATTTTCCCTCATTTGCCTCATTTTTTTTTCTAATTAATAACAATTAACTGATTATCCTTTTTCTCTGAGGAAAAAATCTTAAACCATTACTTTGAATCTAACATGTTCTTTGTAACAGTTTATAACAAATCAGAATTATTTTATCAAATTATGTTTATTGTTTGGATTCTCAATTGTTGGCTTGTTTTCTGTTTCTTTGTTTCTCAATTTCTCTTGATTGTGATTGATTTTCATTGATTCTTTTTAGGTTAATTTTTATGTTTTGTTTTGATTTCTTTTCATCTTTTTCTCTTCTTAATTGACATAGGTAATGAAGTTGTTCATTTCTTCTCGATTTGGTCTCTATGGTGTTTTGGAATCACCTTATCAACAGCACCAAATATTGATTATTCACACAACATGAGAATATTAAACTTGCCAAAAACAGTTAAACCAGGAACTTTAATCTATAGATTGAAAGGTTCACATCCTGATTCGATACCTTTAACCTTTGGTGTTCGAGGACCAATAGGACGGAAACTGTTGGACATTAAATCAGCTGATTTTCGATCAGCCGATGTATATTTAAAATCATCATTCGAGGTACCAAATTTTTTGTTTCTTTTCTTCATTTCTAATACTAAACTTATCGATACTAGAAAAATAAACAAACATTTAATCTTGTTTCTTTACCAATCAAGGAAACGGAATACAATTTAACAATTTTCGTCACCGATGGTAATCAAACAACCGAAGTTGATTCTAAAATTGTCTTCACCGATACCGATGGCACAATAATATTATCGCCGTTCATTGATTATCAACCAATCTATTTTGTTAATGAGGTATATTTCTGTTTATACTGTTATTTAATATTTACTATTAACAGTTAATCATAATATTTGTCTAACTAATATTTTCCCTTTCACACTCCCAAACAATCAACCTAATTGCTCAACCAGAATGTACCATATAATACAACCATTGGCTTTGTAATGGCAAAAGATAAACAATCAAGTAATCTTCCAGTAATGTTTGAGCTTAGGGTAAGTTGAGCTGTTCCGATCAACCATTTTAATCGTAATTAACTAATCCATATAATGATGAATATATTTCCATGTATATATATTTTTGTAGGGTTCCGATAATTTTGCAATAAGATATGTTTTTGGACCTAAAGGATTAAGTAAAGCGATGATCTTATTAGTTAAGGAAGTTGATTATGAGAGGAGAAACGTATATCCAATGACCATCATTGTAACGGTAAGTTGATTTAGTTTGTTTTCACTTTCTAACCTCCAGTCGAGTTGTTAATTAATAAAACTACAAACCTCAATGGTCAAACTTATCAATGAGTATTAAAGTTATTGATTGTGTTGCAGTTTGAACCGTTCAAATTGATATTTTTCAACTTCCTGGTAACAATAATGATTGATTGTTTGTCACCAAACTTTCACTGGTCATTTTTATATAATACATAAGATGATTCATCATCACCTATTAATGAGTTAATATATATTGTTTTCAATTGATTTTCTATTGTTATTAACAGAATGCTTGGACAAATGAAACAGTTGACACTCGAAATGTAGCTTCGGTTGATATATTAATCGTTGTTCGAGATGTGGAAGACACTCCACCTCATTTTGTCAATTTACCATCAGTTGTCCAGATATTTGAAAATACAGAAAAGGTAATAATTAAACTGTTCAATGATTCAGTTTTCCTAATCATTGATTAACTAATCTTTTATTCTGATAATTAGGAAAGTATAATTGATACAATCACTGCCGAGGATGGGGACGTTGAAATCAATAGGAAAATTGTTTATTCTTTAATTAAAAGTAAGATGAACAATCAGATGAGATTGATGAGAATAATAAATTTGATTAATGATAAATTTTGTATTGTTTTCAGATCCATTTAGTAATTATTTCACAATTAATAAAACTTCCGGACAGTTGATTGTGAAAATTTCAGGATTAGAGTTGAAAAATATTATCGGACTTAATAATCCATTTATTTTGAAAATTAATGCCACTGAAGTTATACCTGAAGAGGAGGAAACGGAAATTGGCCTTTCAAGTAGCTCAGTGGCTTCCATAGCATTTGTAATTGTTGCTAATCAAAATCGTCCACCAACATTTGCAACTAATCATTTAGAAGGTTATATCGAGGAGAACAGTCCAGTTATGACTGCTATTCGTTGGTATAATTATAGTTTACCTCGAGTTAATGATTCAGATTCTGGACTTAATGGTACAATGGATTTAACATTAACTCAATTTAGTGTTAATCACCAGGAGATAATTAATGATATAACTAAATTGTTCATCATTCAACCTAATTGGGGATTAAGAGAGATCACTTTCTCCATCTTACTTGGCTCTCCATTCACCTTGGATTATGAAAAAGGTCCAAATGAGATTAAATTTAAGGTTAGTTAACATAAATTTTAATCCACTTAATTAAATGTTCACATAATTTAAATTGTCACTTTCAACCACTTTTGGCTCGAGCTGTTGATTATCTAGGAATCTATTTTAACTCGACAATCCAAATGAACATTTCAATGTACTAATGAGTTTTAATTGTCACCATAATATCATCATCATGTTGATTCTTCATTTATAAGAGATATTGATTTATTAATTATCTTAGATACGTTTCAATTTAGATCCATAAACTTGTATCTGATTAGCACAAATAGTTCAGATAACGAAAGTAAATTAACTTAAAAGCAATCGACTTGTATTAACAGTTTTAAGATATCGAAAGAAGTTAATTGCTGGAAATATTCATTAGCTTAATTTTGATAAAGACAAAAAAAAATCAACTATTGATTATTTAATCTAATCTATGGTATGAATTTTAACAAATACGATAAATGTTATTATCATTTTGAAGATTTTAACTTTGCCAAAACCGATCGATAATAAATAACAACAGTAAATCAATCATTTTGGTGTCATTTTGATAATAGTTAATCATTTGATGTTACAAGAATTAAATTCTATGTATAGTTGATTGTTATGATTTTTTTTTGCTTGTTAGGTCACTGCCACTGATCGTTCACCAATTAAACCTTTGTCTTCGGAAGTGATTGTCACAATTAATGTGATTGATGTTAATGATAATCACCCACAATTTACCCAATCAATTTACAATGTATCTCTATACGAAAATGCTTTACCCGGAACTAAATTGGTCCAAGTTGAAGCAACTGATCCTGATTCTGGTATTTTCGGTCAAATTAAATACACTTCCATTAACGGGCCCATTGCCAAAAAGTAAGACTGTAACTGTTGTTTTCTAACTAATGGATTAATTTAATGGTAAAAATTAGATTGTTAATTACTGTTATTCTGTTGATTGTTGTTTATTTCACTTTAGTTTCTTCCTGGACCGAGATACTGGATTGATTACTTTGAAATCTATTGAAGGAATTGATCGAGAGCAAACATCGGAATATACATTAACCGTTGAAGCTCGCGATGAAAATGGTTTTGGATTATCTAATGTCACTCAACTTCATGTAACCATATTGGATGATAACGACAATGAACCGAGTTTTATTCAGTCTCGTTATGATGCTGTACTTAATCCTGATGGGTTAACCTTCACTCAACCTTTAACTGTGAAAGCTTTTGATCCTGATGAACCTGGAACAGTAAATAGTAAAATTGTCTATGAAATAATTGATGGAAATTATCAAGGAAAATTTGTCATTAACAATGATACTGGATCAATATCGATATCAAGTCCATTGACATTCGATGAAAGTAATAGGAAAAGTCGACTTGCCGATGAATTTAAAAGTCAACCGTCATTTCCAACCATCGTTTTAAAGGTTCGAGCCCATGACCAAGGTGTTCCATATCGATTCTCAACAGTGGAAGTTTTCATTCACCACAAGGTAATATTTGAACTTCACTTGAAATTATTGTCCAGTGTTTTTCTCTATTTCTAATCCATTTCATTCTGTCAATCGTTTTCAGGATTTTCTCAATCGAACTGTTTCATTTATTATTCCTCAAGACGATTCCAGAATTTGGAGTAAAAAAGACGATATTGAAAGGTAATTTTTTGATTGATACTCTCATTTGAATGATAATTTAATAACTTTTTTTCTTTCCATTCATTTTTATTCAGAGGATTAACAAGATTATCTGGAGCTGATGTTCATATTTATTCAATCAAATCTTTCTCGTTAGGACCCAAATCAAGTCAAATCGATGCTTGGATAGCATACCCCATGCATACTATTGTTGATCTGCGGAATTTGTTTTCAACTGTTACTGATTTAACGGGAACTATTCCCATCGAGCCCAAAGATCCAGTTCTTCGAGAGCCTATTCAAACTGCGGCCGTTTATCGAAATGATTACGAGCTCGTTTTGTGGATTCTTTTGATTTTAATTGTTGTCACTTTGCTTTTCTTGGTTGTTCTTCTTGCTGTTTGGTGTACTTGTTATCGAAATGATCGTAAAACAAAGTCAGTATTTCATTAGCACCTTAGTTTGTTCAATATCTTAGAGCTATTTAGTGAATAGAAAGTTTTGATAACCATGTTTTTCTTTTTCTCTTTCACTAGGACCGTTTTGGAATCTATCGAACCTGCTAACAGAATCATAACAGTAAAAGATAAATCAACTAACCATTTGGAGCAAAATGGCTCCTTTTTACAACGATCAAAAGAAAAGCGATCCGTTCATGAGACAATAGTTGATGAAGCTTATCAAATAGACGATGAGAGTAGAGGTGATTCATCAAGATCCAATGAAGATGGTACAAGATCGGCAGATACGAGAAAGCGAGAATTGATAAACGATAAACAGTCAAAATTTAAAAGAATCAAATTAGGTCGCAATAGAAGAGTCCGAGTGACTCCGGAAATAATTGGTGAAGCAGAACCTATTTATTTGGAAGATTTTACAGATGATCCAGAATATTATATTATGAGGAGGCCGAAATTGAGAAGACCACCTCTACCACGACATGATAATGGTGATGAAAATGGACAATTGAGACAAATATCGACTTCTGAACCAGGAATCAGCTATGTTACAAGTGGAGTCGATGATAATTTTTACCTTTTCTCTCGCCGATCTGGCTCAGTTCAGAGAATTGGAAATAATTCTTCTGTGGAGTTTTCATCGAGAGCAGGTATTCACAGAGGAGGATCATTAAGAGAGCGTAACCTTTACCCTGATCACTTAACGGACCACTTACGAAGCGTAAGCGAGGCTGAGATTCGTGATTTGAAGTTAGAAGATATTGAAGATCACAATCCATCATCAGAAGTGAGACTGAAAATTCCCAAAGAATCTCAATCAGATGATGAGTATATTCCTAGAAGAAGTGCTCAGTCAAGTATTCTACCGAGTCTTGAGGTTTCAGGTCCTCAGATTAGATTTATAAATGATAAAGATCACCATGAAATTGAACGCAAATCTGACACAAAAAGGGAATCAAATTCAAGCAGTAGTAGCAGCAGCGATAGTACTAAAAGTAGTTCCAATTCGAGTGAGAAAAGTCAACGTCCGGTTGATTCTAAAGCTAGCGATTTACTTGAGAGTCTCAATAGTACAGAGAGAAGACTATTCAATCGAAGTCCAAGTGAAACATCTAATATCGACATGGGACTTGTTGACGGTGTGGTCACTCGAACTGGTACAAATTCAGCTTTAGATTCACAAGAGGCAATCGAATTTCCATCAAGATCTGGGGCTACTAATCATATGGGTCTCAACGGAAATCAAAATGGGCAATTAGAATCCAGCTCGCAAAACTATTCGCCCTTATCTTCACCAGAAAATAACACTGAACCCAAGAAACTAACCACCGGAGTAGTGACTGTCAATCACAATGGAACCACAAGCAAGTCAAGTGGACATGGAGATAATTCAGATCACTCAGATAAATCAGATTCAGATTCAGGTATCGGAGGAAGAAATAGATTGGATAAGAAAATGAATCTCAAAAATAGTGATCTGATGACAAAGAAAAGTATCTTTACAATAGCATTTGATGGAGTGAAAACGGATAGACTACAATCAGCTGATTCTCTTCCTCTAACTCCCTATGTTTAATCAACAGAAACAAAAGAAATCAAATTTCTTTATTTTCAGCAGATAATCGAAGGATAAAATGTTCTGTAAATATTGTAATCTTCCAACTGTGATAATTGTGTTCCACAAAAGATTTGTAAGACAATTCGAGTTTATCAGAAAAATATCAGATTGAATTAAAAGCTAAATATTATAATCGATCAACTTCATAATTTTCTGTTAATTTTTCAAGGCTCAATTCCGAGAAATTGATTGATTTCAAAGTTTCGCTCAAGGTAAACCGATAATTATTAATATGAGCCAAGTAAAGTTTATTCAAAGGACGAACATAGTAAAAAGTAAAGTGCTTTTGCTTAATCGAATCGAACTTGATTGTAAAATTAAATCTTTTAAGAACATTAACTTTTTCTCCATACTATCAATGTTATTTGCAGGGGAATTGATTGTGAGCAATAAACAGAGAAAGAAAGATTTTCATTTCAGAAATTAGATTTTATTTCTATTATTTTATTCTTGACAATTGATTATATTACAATCTTTCAATTTGTAGTTAAGGGCAATCGACATGATGATAACGATTAAACTTTAAATTGTCTTCATTTGTATGAGTTTTTTTTGTCAAATTTTTACATAATAAAAGTTTAAAATTCAAAGTTTTATAAATGAAAATTATCTTAATTGTTTTATCACAGAGTTGCTCTTTGATGTAATAGTAATTAGCTAACAGTAGTAACCATGTAACAAAAAGGATAAATGGACAATTATAACGATAATGTTCATTGTGATCTGGGTGAATACCAAATGATGTAAAAAAATCTGATAACTGATCTAATATTAGTATTGAAAAGAAAAATTAAAAAAAAATTAAAAGGTAAAAACTGTTGTTGATGAAAAAAAGTTTTTCGATAGCCAATTAATCTGAGAGTTCTGAATCTCGGAAAATTGTTTCACGTTAATTAGACAATTTTCTGGTCATTTCCTTTGATCAGATTCTACTCATAGATCATTCATAGAATTGTGATAGTCCGTTATTGTCAATGATTCTAACTATAGTATTGATGGAAGACCCTAGTTTTAGATGAACAAGCAATTATTCAGTTATTAATGATAAATTGATCGAATAATCAATATTTCTGTTGAACTATTCTGTTGTTGTATATATAAGTTATTTCTTGTATCTGCATAATATCACAATCAGTTTTCATTGTCGAATGGATTCCAGTTTTTGGGTGAGGAAAAGGCTTTTCACAGATTCGAACATTGCTAATTTAAAGTATTCCAATGGTCTTGATAAAAGTTCTTGAACTGGTATTTTCATAGTGATTAGAGGAAATTGCAGATGATTGAACTTGAAGGATTATCCATTTGATTCTGACCATCGTTTACACTAATACTCCTGATTATTGAACTGTTTGATTGAATTGGCTTCTATGTTCACACTGTCGACTCAAATTTTGGACTTCCTCCGATTAGATCAACTCGAGTTGCTTTAGTTATCTCAGATTTACTTTTGAATTCAACGGTATTCTTGCGGTCCAATGTACTTTTGGATGAAGAATTCCTAACAATTGATATTGGTTCCAGTGTAATTCCTTGAGCAATTTCATATTTATCAGGATCTGCGAGAGGGAGAGAAATAATCTCATTAATATCATATTAATAATATGTATTGAAAAATGGTCAAGAATAGTATAAAATTCAAATAGACTCAAAGGAAAGTTTTTAAGAAAAATAATTCAGTCGAGATCGTTATTCATATTAATAATTAGTTGAGTTCTATTGAATTTTAAAACCAATGAAATCAATTGGATCGTATATTTTACCATAGGATGAGATAAATTTGTTCTCGTCGTTTTTACTTTTACTTGAACAATAGCCAATTGAAGGTATTATATCAGGTGGACCTTTAGCAGTACCATTTGAATCAAGAGTGTTAAATTGATTGGCTCGTTGTTCTTGCTGTTGGACCGTTGTGGTTGTTAAAAGCATCTCATCACAACACTCATCATCACAGCAACAAACCTCTTCAGCTTCATCAAACATGGTTCCACCCGGGGGAAGTTGTGTATTATCAGTATCAGGTCGAGTTAAACCGATAACATGTCTATGGGTACGACGGACACGGATTATGGCAATGATACCAAGTGAGATGAGTATCAGGGTGACGACAATGATTCCCAATAATAAGGCTATTAACATTGGTTTACCAGTGAATATATTACGTCCATTGACTGTCAACAGATTTGCTCGACCATTTCCAATCAATTTCTGTGCTGGTTGTGAGGTTTCACCGGTTAACCACATTACTTGGGATGAGCCACGAGAGTGAAGTGAAAAACATTTGATACGATAACTTGTCTCTGGAATTAAATTATTTACTAAAAATTTGATCTCATTGTGATGCATTAGATTAATTTCTGTGAAACGAAACAAAAATACCATGATAGAAATTAGCAAATTATCAAATTATTATTATTTAGATAAAAGGATAAAATCAATGATAAATTAATTGTACTATTATTACATGATAATAGTACATAACCATAGACATTTCTTTTCAATGAAATTCATTATGATCAAATAATGAGTCAATAGTAATAACCACTTGACCTAAATTAATTGGTCAGTTTGATAACTATTTCCATTGTAATAATAATAATAATAATATCAAGTGTTTACACCTAATCAACATTATTACATGAAAAAGAAGACGAGAAAAACAAAATCATCACAACATTAATTGAGTTTGTTGGTGTCGTATTAATAATTTGAATTATTCATTGATTCATGTTGATTTATGATTCATTATAATCTCAAGTAATTCTAGAGAAATTCATGATTTACTGTTATATATTAAATTAATTTAATTCCATCATAATCAGCATCGTATTTTTAAGTATTTATCATGATGATTAATTAACTAGAATAAATATTTTTCAACAACATCGTTGAAAAGGTAAATAATAATAATGATAATATCATTACATTGAGTTGAAATTAAGATAATGTAACATTTTAATAAGATGGATTATTATTAAATTATCTTGACTAATTGAATTTTTTGTACTAAATGTATTAAATGTTGTATCAATTTCACCATGAAATATCATCAACACCATCATCAGTTTGTTATTAGAAATGAATAAAATGTCAAATCAATTCTCAGCATCAAAGATTACAAGAAGAAGCCATTACTTTTTTTGTGAAAAGTATCGAAAGTGTCATCATTAGGAATGATAGAAAATATCATTGGTCATTATTATCGTGTAACAATATGAGAAAGTTAAATGACATTGAAATTGATATTATTGAATAATATGGAGAAAGATGATCAACAGAAAAAAATAAGAAGATATAAAGAAAAGTTTTACTACTAAAGAATGACCTGTCATTGGAATGGTCTTGAGGTAAATGGCTATTTTAACACCTTCTATTATTGGACATCTCCTTCATTTGGATGTTATTCTATCATGAAAAGTAAGAATCATCTTGAGAAACATGAATATGAAAGAGAATTGGGACAAAAAAAGAGTTCCATGATTGAGTAGTTCGAAGTGGATATTGGTTCGATAATCATTATTATCCTCATCATCATCATCGTGTCGTTTCCGTTCATGACATTAGAATAAATGGTAATATTTGATTCTATTTTTTGCCTTTTTTTCTTCATGATACACTTACATAAATGATACTACATTATGATAATAGTAACAATGGATCTCAAGGCTTACCTGTCAACTGAAAAACTCGACCAAGAAAAAACAACAACAAAATCCATGAGGAAATGGTCATGATGATTTTGGTGTTACCAAAGAGATTCATGGAAAAGGATATGAATAGACAAATGAAAGTAAACACTCATAATATTTCATGTTCACACCAAATATTACGATAGCCTCATGGATAGATAACTTTTTTTTACAAGGTTATCATTTCTTTATCATTTCATCCTCAATCATATTATATCATGTTGTTTCATGATATCAAACGATAAATTATACTCTTTCCTTGTCCGCTTTTCTTGTTCACATTTCATCAATTTTTTTGTTGTTCTGTTGACTTTTGTATGCTTATTATTTCAATCTTTTTTCCCCCCAGCATTTCATTGATAACTTGCAGCCCAATAGAGTTAATATAATGTTGCCAACGAAAAATTCATACTTCAGTTTTCAGAACTTTTTTTTTACTTTGTAGCACTTTTGATGATTGAGATGTCATCGATTGTTATGAGAAGAAAAAAAATTCGCTAATCCAATTGCTGGGAACATTTTTCGTCGTAACAGTAAAAAAACAGAAAATATTGAAATTCAATCAAGGATATAATTCAGTTCAGGTTTTGTTGCATTTTTGTTTTCTCCTCGCCATGTTTACCATGTTTCCCATTCACATCCATCAATTTGGTTTGTAGATAAAAAACCCAACCCAATTTTACCTGGTTATGTATGTGGATCTGTGTGTGAGTGTCTGGTGTACATATAAAACCTGAAATTCTGTACCTGAATAAAAGTCAATGTTGACTCTACTTATCCTATTATTTATCATGTACTAAAATGTTATTGGATAATCATGGTATTCATATTTACCTTTGATATTGTTCACTGAATGTAATATATTTATAACTATGTAGATGAAACCTTTTCATCAAGCAGATTGTTCATTCACAAAAAGAAGATAAGAAAACAATAGATTCAAAGTTGATTCTCTTTCTCTTTACCATTGAGAAAAAAAAGTTCAATCAAAATCACTAATCAAGTGAAGGAAAAAAAAAGTTCATCAACTTCATTCATTAATAATAATAATTTTCCTTAAATTTTCATTTTCTCTGGTTAAGTTCAATTGATTATTTACTATCATGATGAAAGGTGGAGTTGGTAGTGTCAATATCATGGGTAATTCGTAATGAATATTTTAAAACTTATCCTTTTAACTACAATTAGATGTTAGGCTTTTTTTTCATTATTTGATTTGCTTTGAATTCAAGTGAACAAACAATAATTTCATGTTCACATTAATCTAATTTATTATCACATTATTTCAACACCTAATCTGCTGTCATTTATATATAATCATTCAATTTGGTTGCTTAACTATTAATACCTTTAGATTGTAACAATTATCTCAATCTAGACTTATCACCACCTCAATCTTATTCTCATCTTATTTCCGTATTCTCAGCACTATTCAGCTTGAATCCCCTGATTCCTATTATTATCATTCTCATATTGCAAACGAAAACTCCAAAGTTTCAAGATGCTTGTTCTAATTTCCTTTCTCATCATCACCTTTTTATCTTTCGATTTTCTCTTTCTCTTATTTTTACCTTTTTCTCTAAAAACACCTCACCTCGACACAGAACAATCTTCTATCATCCCTTTCTTGTCTTATCGATTTCTACAAGAAACTTATCATCATCATCAACAACAAGGGCTACTTATATCTTGAGAAATTCTAACCTTTTCTATGTTTTTACTTTTTTCTGGTTCTTCTTCATCTTCTTCGTCTTCTCTACCTCTTCATCATTCTAAACATTATAATCATCTTCTTATTACATCATCTCAGCATTCTCATTCCTTCATCATTTCAGTTTTTGTTTCATCTAAACTCAATTGTCTCTCATATAATTGCAAGTATTATCCTTATCTTTATTTCTCTCTATTCTTTTTCTACTTTATTTTTCCCATTTCAAAGATTCAGATTCTGTTCACGGATTCATATTTTTACTGTGTATCAGTGTTTTCCTGTTCAACTAACTCCTGGTTCTCAGCTATTAAACACATATATAAATTACTGATTTACTGATGTTAATGATTATTTTCTGGTTCCATGATTAACGATTTTAAGTGAGTGAGTGAAAGACTAAATAAAGAGTCATGATCATATGTTATTATTATGGTTATAATTATATAACTTTCATTGTTCTTATCCCATAACTATCACGATACTCACCATATGAATGTGATTGATATGGAACAGTTAAAGGTTGTGATACATTGGCGATAGGATATTGTTCATTTTTCCGATAAACTTGACAAATGAAAAACGAAGCTGGATAAATGAATAATCCTCTGGATGGATTAGAATCATCTCCCAATTTAATCTCTTCATGAGTATAATTAACTCTTACATCGGGTAAACAGTGAACCATAAGTGAATCTTCACTTTGATTGGCAACTCGGCATCTAAATGATAAATTAGGAGGATCTAATATTCAAGAAAGAGAGAAAGAAAGAGAAAAGAGAGAGAGAGAGAGTCAATTAAATAAGAATCAAAATTCATTAATATTCATCTTATTATATTCATTAGATGAAAACATAATAATATCAACATGACGAATACGAAGGAAACTTATTCAGATTACATGGAAAAATACAAACTAATATTGGTAACATGAGTTATTTGAACCATCAAAAAGTTTCTTCATCTTTATTAATCACTAGATGATGAATAAATTATTTGATTACATCGATTTTAATATAATGGTAATAATAATCATACTATCAACAGTCTATTTTGAATTCCATCCTGTTGATAATAATTATCAGATTTATCATGTAGATAAAAACTTTTTTTCAACATTTTCTCTCATTCAATATCCAAGTTATCATTTTGTGAATATCCTTTTTCAGAGATATATCATATAACAGTATTGGAAAGAAAGGGAGAGAGAGAGAGAGAGAAACAAACAAACTAATGATTCTAAATGCAAAGCCATTGGAACTCTTGTCTAGCCATTATCATTAACTTTACTATTATCATCATCATTATCATTAACAGTATCATTATCAATAGCAACATGGTCATCATCAACCATTATCACCAACTTGATTGATCAACAATTAAGGCTAACACAGTGAGGGTCAAAGTGGAGAAACAGTGGCGGTCATTTATAACATTATGTTATATGAGATTCAAATGAATGGCGAAGAAGCAAAAATAATAATAAAGGAAATGACCAACAAGAGATAATAGAGAAAAAAGCAAAATCAAAGAGTCTAAAAATTGATTCACTAATCTTTTAAATGGTGTGTAATCTAATTCAATTATAAATTCAATTCAATTTAATCAAGGAAAAGGTTAATGTTGCTAATGATTGTTGATTAGCTAAATAATATCATTAGTTTCACACTAATGATGTTGATACAATAGATTATGTAGCAATGATATTTAAAGTGAATCCAAAAGTATCTTAAATCAATTGAGTTCTCATCATTATCTGGTTTAAATGTTAATAGAGAAAAACAATAAGCTTAAAAGTTGATGGAAAATAAGAAAACAATTTATGAAATCACCTAAGATTTTGAGTCTTGTAGAAATTATCGATAATTATTAATCTATTAATAGATAGAGAAAAATAAGAGTAACAATAAGATACACACAAAGTATTAAATGTCTTTAAATTGTTACTTTTTGCTGATGAAATTGGTTGAATTGATGTTAGTTGATTTACACAGGATGAAGTTTAGATCTGACAGTTTATATATATTAGCGCAATGAGAAAGTATATTTATATTTGATAAGGAATTTCACAATTGGCTACCACTGGTCACTAATAACACAATCTACTGTGCTTGTCAGTTGACAAAGAAATGATCGAAAAATGGTCTTATTGCTTTTAGAGAGAAAGATTTAGATTCTATCTTTGTGTCGATAAAGTTTAAATGATACAGAATGATAACCTCAATTTGGTAGAGAGACAGAGAGAGAGAGAGAGAGAGAGAGAGAGAGAGAGAGAGAGAGAGAGAGAGAGAGAGAGAGATGAAAAAAAATATCCAAAGACAAATATCAACAATAATAGAAACATCAACAGTAATTTCATTGTCATCATCAACATTGGTAAAAGTGTAAAGGCTCAGAATAGGATGATAACATGATCTTTGATTTAACACTGATCATTGTCACAGCTCAATGTGTAATAATGATCCTTATCCTTTGATGTAACATGAAAAGATGAGGATAAATTTGAAAATGATGAAAAATACATGGGAAAAAATGGTCAAGTGAAAGATGATGAGATGGGAGTGAAGAAGAAGATGCAAGAGAAAATTATTTGTATCATCAGGAAGAAGAGGTTAACTGGCAGTGAAAGTGGGATAAAATATCAAGAAGAAAAAGATTTGCAAAGAGATTTTGATGGTCAAGACTAAAGAAGAGAGAAAGAGAGAGATAAATATTACACAAAAAGAAAAATCAATGGATGTAATATTTTAAGATGATAAAAAGATTCTTGTGTTTCATTCATATTTTTTCCGGGGTTAATCTTGACTATATGTACTTGGATTCTTGTTCATGGGATGAAGATTCAGAGAGTAAACAAGATAAGAGGTAATTGGGGATATATTGGCTATTTATTGAAAGTATTGCAGTTTCTTTTCTCTCCCTTCTTCATTGAGTCAATGAAAAATGATCTTGTACGAAAATTTTAATGACTTGATCGAGAATCAAACAAACTTTTCTTTCTCCTTCAATATTATCGACAAAACTCATTCGATTCAGAATTTTCCATCATATTTTTTTCAGTTTTCACTCAATAACTTTCATTTTATTTCTTATTTTTTTTTTCCTTTCTTTTCCTCTTCCCTTTTCTTTTACTTGTATTTCCTTATTGTAAAAATCATTTATCATTTAAAAAGATGCTGATGATTAGCTATTAGATTATTTTTATCGATGATTTATAAACATTATAATTGATTGAATTCTCTCTCTCTCTCTCTCTTTATTTTTTTTCTGTCTATTTTCACTTGAAAATTTCCATTAAGATAGTATTAGGATTTACGTAGTATACAATCAACTGTAAAATGTTGTGGTTAAGAATGAGAAAAAAAAATCGACAACAAAGTTTACTGAATAAATTTCGTCATCATTCAACCTCAAGATTAATTCAGTTTATCTAATAACAATGTCATTTGCATTCTGCATTTTCATTAGATGACATTAATAATACCCTTTAATTGCAAGGGATTGCTTTTTTCTGCTTCTTTGCGATTCACTTACCTGATGATGTTATATGGAAAGTACAAGCTCGCTGTTGAAGTCCTACTTCATTTTTGGCAATACAGTCAATTTTACCGTAATCATTAGGCTCATGGGGTGAGTAGCTTAAGGTTGATCTACATAAGGAGAAAAGGATGTTTGCATCATGGTTTTAATGATGATTTTTCATGAGAATCATGATGATGATGATGATGATGATAAGTACAAGAGACGAGAGACGAGAGAGATGGAGATCCATGCTCCATAGAGATGCAGAGTTAGATAGAGAATGGGAAAAGTTTCAACAATCTGAAAAGTTACTTGAGTAAGGCGGAGATAATAGGTTGATGAGAGTGGGAGTTGTAAAGGTTAAATGATGTTGTTGAGTTTGATTTTTGATGGAGCTAAAACATTCAAACTATTAACTATTACAATCAATGGAATGATAATAAAGCTTATTAACAGTATTAAATCCGATGGAGAACAAAAAAAATAACGAAATGAAACAAAAGAAAACAAAAAGGCAATCACAAAATGAGATTCATAAGAGGAAAGAGGAATATTGAAAAAGGAAGCTGATGATTACTGTAATCATAATCATCATTATCATCATGAAATTACTTTACTTATCATCAGCATCATCTTTTAATACGTCGTTAGATGTGTGTGTGTGTATACGTTACCTTGTGTCATTAACTATGTTAAATGGTAATAACTCTGAATTGTATTGATGTTTCCATTGGAAAGAGACACGAGATGGATTCGCATCTACATCACATTCAAGATAAATGGTTTCATGAAGAGCGACTCCATAGACTAAACTGTAAGAGTATTTTAGAAGAGACATTTTCATATATAATTTGACCATGGGAAAGGAAAAGGATTCGTCCACCAATGAATTAGAATTGGAGTTTTTTTTTATCATTCAATCCAATGGAATATGTATATTGATGAAGAAGAAAGGAAAATACATGAAAAAGCATTAAAAGGATGTATTATAAAAGATTAATGGTAAAATCGGAATGATCATCAGAGATAAAAATGTAATCAGAGTTTCTCAGCAGAATATTATCATCTTAAGAACGTTTTTTTGTTTTGTTCCAAATCTACATGTACATACATGTATCGATACACACGATAAATGGATGCACATAATACTCGAATACAGAACTTTTATTATTGTTTTGTTTTTCTCTTTCGATTCTTTTACAAAAATCTCAACCATTATATTGGTAAAAATTTGATATGAAAAAAACATGAAAAGATAATATTCAAATAGATATCATCATCATCATCATCATTTGAGTGTATTTATTAATCTACACTCCAAGTTCATCTGAATCATTGAATATTCCTGAAAAAAAGGAGCTGATTTTTATATGAGAATATTATTTTTTTTTCTGGTTCCAATACACGAAAATGAATTAAGGTTAATCTCTCAATATGATAATGCACTATGAGAGTAAACGAAAGATTGATTTTTGGATTAATATTGAATTTCTGATACTATATTTGAATTTGAATATTTTCTCAGCATTTATCTTAACCGTTATTAGAATTTTACATGTATATAAATACTATTAGCTTGTGAAGACAATGCTTTCGATGTAAGAGCAACAAAACATGAATTCAATTCTACTAAAGTCATGATAACTTCCATTTCAATAAATGTGAAGAGAAACATGATATTTGAATTGGAAGCGTGATGACGAGATGAGAATCAACTTTTAGGAACTTTGATTTCCATTATGATTTGTATATTCTTGATTTCTCCATTCTCTCTTTCTCTTCTTCTCTCTCTATCACTATTCAGCCTCCCAACAAGTTTTCCATTCTGTTCTAATACCTTGAATGGAATTGAAATCTCTATGGAAATTTTTTTTCCTGTCTCTTTCTCTCTCTTTCTCTCTCCTTTTCTTTACACTTTATGTTAGAGATTTAATCAAGTGTTTAAGTCTTTTTCTATGTTTAGTTTTCTACAACAAGAAAAACTTGCAATGCAAAATAAGTGAAGAAAAAAAATTGAGGTGAAAAAAAGGTTAAGAAGTTTATCTTTTCTCGTTTATCCTCATCAATCTGTGAATTAAGGGTGAACAAGCAAAGAGAGAGGAAGTTGAATGAGAAAAAGAAAATGAAAGAGAGAAAAGATTATCAACGGAAAAAGAACTTGAACAAAGTTTCCAAATTGTTTTTATAGAGAAGAAAAAAATTATCCATATACTAATATTCAGAAAGAAACCAGAACATTTTTACTATCTCTCTCTCTCTCTCTCTCTCTCTCTCTCTCTCTCTCTCTCTCTCTCTCTCTCTCTCTCTGCTCATAGTGAATTAAATCATCGTGAAGGAGGAGAGCGAAAAAAATTCCAACGAAAAAAAAACCGAGTAACTCAATTCTCACCAAGATATTCAACGATAATAAAATAATAACAGCATTAGAACGATTAGTTTAAACTAATCACTCGCTTAGAAAAACTGAACTTTGCTTGATTAATCAAGCAATCATGATAATGAGGTGGAAAAGATTAACACACTTAGCACAGCATTTAGAATACAAATTAATATATTAACAATAATTTCAAATTGAGTTAGTATATTTTTTTCTTGCATCTTGGTAAATTCAATTGTAATAATATACCAACACGTTGCTACTTAATCGCGATCAAGCTTTGAAAATCTTTGGATAAATCTACTAACAATCAAATTAACATGTTATTGAATATACTATTGCAATTGAATAACCGACTGATAGTTAATCATATTATTTACTAACAACATTTTCCTTATCATCTTGGGATTGGAAAATGATTATTTTTAAAGTTTCCAAAAACTTCTGATTCTTTTATTTCGATAAATAATATTGCATGAAGAATTATTTTTCTTCCTTCTAATAGCTTCATGTGAAATGGAAATTATCATATTTTCATGATGAGAGATGAGAAAATCCCTAGAACTTTTATCCTTTATGGTTTCTTCGTATTTTTATTTTATCTACATCATTAAACATACATTGATTTGACATCCAAAGCATAAAAGTATTGACATTTTAGTTGATGATTATTATTATATATTCATCATCATCATGTCAATGAATAAAACTGTAGCTTTTAGTGTGTCCCTTTTATTCAGGCAAGAAAAAAAATATCAATATAATCTAATGAACCAATCATGATGATCACCATGAACATGATATGAGAACCTTTTCTTTTCCTGTTGTTTCTTCAAAACGATGAAAATAACATTCAGTTTGAGGCGATTTTTTCTCTATCGATAGACTGAATTGATTCCATATTCAGATTTCCTCGTTTACCACACTTTCTATCAAATATCATGTTTAAGAATCATTATCATGAAGTAAGATGATATTCAATTGCATTTTACTTTAAAAAAAATGTCGTATTCATACTCGTATATGATGTGTTCTGTCTCCCTGTGAACATGTTGTAGAAATTTTTTTCATCCCTGTTAATCTTGGTAACATAACTTAAAATATATTGAATATTACACGTAATCAATATACGAAACACGAAATGTTCAATTTTTGATGAAAATTTTTCTTTTCATTATTTACTCATTTTTTTACTCTTCTCTTTTCATACTATCGGTCAATTGATGGACAGAAAAAAAAACTATCCTATTCCAAGAAAAAGAAAAGGTTATTTTACAGAATTTATTGAACTCGATTCAATTTTGATTCCTCGAAATTCTTCATACATTTTGAATTGAGATTATCACGATTAACGGTAAATACTAAATCTATTAAATATATTGTGACGATTTAGTAATTGAAAATAATGAGTAAATGGGATAAATTGTTTAGGTTTTATTTTTCTTTTACTCGAAAATCATTGGGAAGGAGATTCAATTATATTATATTTTTCATCTTTGGATGAAGAAATTTTTTTAACTTTGTTTGGTTATCATATAGTAAATATATTTTTCTATCCTCATCTTTTCTGTTGACTTTATCTAATATTTTAATGAAATTTTCTCAAGTCTAAAAGTTTCATCATGAGCATGAGAAAGAATAAGGTAAACAAACAGAATGAATGAATATTTTTTTTCAAGGTCAAATTTCCGTGAGATTGAGATGACAAATTTATGACTGAATGATGAATACAAATGGATCAAACTTACATATTTTCATTACGACAAAATGGAGCATATCTGATGGTTAAATTGATTGTATTGCTTAGCGCAGTTCCTTGATTGTTTCCCGCTTCACACTGATAAGTACCACTTTGCTTACGAGAAACACGTTGAAGTACCAAAGTTTGATTACTTTGTATCACTCCTAGAATTGGTATCAAAGGTAAAATGATAATATTGTTAGATATTAACGATAAATTATTATATTAACAAAAGAGATGATGATCAACTCACCATGCTGGGAGTGAAGTATATCACCATTGAAACGCCAAACGATTGGACGATTGATATGAGGATTTGAATCGATTTCACAGTCAAAATAAATATCATTACCTTCCTGGAGAGTAGTTAATGAAATCGTTGGAGATCCAAGTCTCAATGAAAGACGAGGTATATCTAATACGTATCAATGAATTTTTGGTGTAAAGGAAATGATGAATTAGAAAATAATCATTTAATCAAAATCAGTAAATTTTTTTTTCCTCTTTAACATTATCAATATTTAGAATCAGAACCTATTCAGCCAGAGATTAAAGTTTAAGCATTTTTTTTATATTCATAATATTGAGCCGAAAAGATTTGGATAAAGTTTTCTGTGTTCAAAATTCAGAATCAGCATTCAGGTTGAAACTTTTTTTCTTCTTTGTCAATAGGGGAAAAAATCAATCATGTTATCAAAATATTGTCATAATACTTGAATTTTTAGCAGTTTTTTTTGTTAATATTCATATTGGATGAGGAAAATTCTGATTAATCTCTCAGTCTCTCCAAGTTGATACATCTTCTTTATATTATGATCAACAGTTATTCAAAGCTCAAAGTCAGCGATTTTGTTTTTTGTCTTCTTCTTTATTTTTATTGGTTCCCTTTAAGATTCTCAAGAAAAAGCTCAAGTGTAAACTCATTCAGAGATTAAGTTCACTAGAAGAAAAAAGTAAAAAAGATATCAGGTAATAGATCACAGAATCAATAAGAAATTTGAAGAAAAAATCAACAAGAATTTAAAGATTTACACACACACACACACACAAGGATAAACAACTATCACCCA